AAACGTTATGATTGAAAAGTAACAATATAATGTAGTGTGTTGCAGAGAGCCAGGAACACTACAACACTGAACTATAGTCACAACACCTTGTTCAGTTATCAAAACTTCGCGACCCAGTCCCTGGACCCATTATGTACCTCTGTAATGTTGAGGTACAGTCCCTGGACCCGTTATGTACCTCTGTAATGTTGAGGTACAGTCCCTGGACCCATTATGTACCTCTGTAATGTTGAGGTACAGTCCCTGGACCCATTGTGTACCTCTGTAATGTTGAGGTACAGTCTCTGGACCCATTATGTACCTCTGTAATGTTGAGGTACAGTCCCTGGACCCATTATGTACCTCTGTAATGTTTGAGGTACAGTCCCTGGACCCATTATGTACCTCTGTAATGTTGAGGTACAGTCTCTGGACCCATTATGTACCTCTGTAATGTTGAGGTACAGTCCCTGGACCCATTATGTACCTCTGTAATGTTGAGGTACAGTCCCTGGACCCATTATGTACCTCTGTAATGTTGAGGTACAGTCCCTGGACCCATTATGTACATCTGTAATGTTGAGGTACAGTCCCTGGACCCATTGTGTATCTCTGTAATGTTGAGGTACAGTCCCTGGACCCATTATGTACCTCTGTAATGTTGAGGTGCAGTCCCTGGACCCATTATGTACCTCTAATTTTTTGACTACCGCCCACAGGATGGGTATGGGATGCATAATGAACATATTAAACTAACAAAAGCACCACAATAGACGACTGAACACAAAAAATAACAAATATAATACTGAATTCCTTCACTGCTTCCATGGACTGGAACGATCGTTCCAGGAAAATGTACAAAGGAGGATGACAAAGATGATCCCATGTATCAGAAACCTTCCCTATGAGGATAGACTAAGGGCCCTGAAACTGCACTCTCTGGAAAGACGTAGAATTAGGGGGGATATGATTGAGGTGTATAAGTGGAAGACAGGAATAAATAAAGGGGATGTAAATAGTGTGCTGAAAATATCTAGCCTAGACAGGACTCGCAGCAATGGTTTTAAGTTGGAAAAATTCAGATTCAGGAAGGATATAGGAAAGTACTGGTTTGGTAATAGAGTTGTGGATGAGTGGAACAAACTCCCAAGTACCGTTATAGAGGCCAGAACGTTGTGTAGCTTTAAAAATAGGTTGGATAAATACATGAGTAGATGTGGGTGGGTGTGAGTTAGACCTGATAGCTTGTGCTAACAGGTCGGTTGCCGTGTTCCTCCCTTAAGTCAATGTGACCTGACCTGTTAGGTTGGGTGCTTTGGCTTAAGCCGGTAGGAGACTTGGACCTGCCTCGCATGGGCCAGTAGGCCTTCTGCAGTGTTCCTTCGTTCTTATGTTCTTCTTATGTTCTTAGACCATGACGCTGAAATCTTCTCCAGGCTGAGGGACTGAAGAAACCTACTATGTAGGCGAAACGTTTCATCAATGAAGATACCCAACTGTTGCATATGTCTCTTAATCTTCAACCTGTCAGTATTTTATACAGCCCTGTCTCTGTCACACTCGCCCATGTACCTGTCTGACCTATTTTTAAAGCTACCTCGAGTCGGTGCTGGATCAGCCGGGCTGTGGTTCCTACGATGGACTAAGTGCGGCCAGCAGTAACAGCCTCGTTGATCAGGCCCTGATCCACCAGGAGGCCTGGTCATGGACCGGGCCGCAGGGGTGTTGATCCCCGGAATGCCCTCCAGGTAAGCTACCTATTGTTTTCGTTCAACGACGCTACTCGGGAGTTTATTCTGGATTATATCTGTGGTTACAGGGTCTACTGTATCTCCACAGGGTTCTTCTAATACAGCTAATGCAGCTAATTCTGTATTATATAAATTATCTTGCGTTCTTTTATATACCCGTATCCTCACCGGTGTGGCCGGGTCATCGCACGGAGAAGACCCGGCCCAAGACCCGTCCTGGCGAATCAGTCTCTACCTGTTGTAGAAATGTAATGAATTCAATTCAATTCAATTCAGAGTTTATTCTCTATAAGGATTACAATGCTGAGTTTACAGAAATTTGGTTATTGTTTGGTTTACATGTAGTAAAATTGTGATTACAGAGTGTACCACTAGAACGCTTAGCATGGCTAGGCATTTCGGGCATACTTAGTTTTATTCTTAATCGTAAAATATTACAAATTATGAGGTAAGTTGGTATTATGGCTAAGTGACTAAATACTAGTTTATGAGTTTAGCAATGTGAATGCTTTTGTTTTGGCACAGTATATAGTTTCAGTATTGGAATGATTTGATTTTTTTTAATATGGGAACATTTAATCAACTATTACGGAAACTGCTCGTTTATTAGTAAACTGGATCATTCACTTTGAACCAGCAATTAAGAAAGGTTATATATTGACTCACGAAATCGTAATGACACGTAATGATCGCGGGTTCAATCCCGCCCGTGGTATGGTAAGGTTATATATTGTAAATTGGTAAATCATACATAATATTTAACCAAAAGGAAAACATTTTTTCCCTGTGCTCCAACTTATTTCTAATCTTTAGACCTAAATGGATGCAAAAAAATTAATGACACCAAAATACCAGCCTGGAGGAGCACTATGGCAAGCCCACTGGTCCATGCTAGGTAGATCCAATCTGAACCCACCTGCACCCGCTACTGTATCTGCCAAGCCTATCTTTAAAGTTGCCCATAAAGATTTAGCGCATGTTCTGAAGATATCTGAGAGTTCATTTTGAGTTGCTGGGCAGCTAGAGTCGTCTTTCCTCCCCTTATAACAGGCTTCTGCCTTTTTTGTTACTGACACACGCGAAAATAGGGAAAGAAATGATGATAGCAATGTTACAGACAGGACAGCAACATTGCAGAGAGGGGATTGCAATGCTAGACAGGACAGCAACATTGCAGAGAGGGGGGGGGGTTGCAGTGTCAGGGGGTATAAATGCTTAATAATTCAGTTAGGTTAAACTGTTAAAAATGTGACAGAATATCATAAAAAAAACATTAAAATTAAAAATTAAATTTAAATTAACATGCTCATTTCTCTGTAAAGATTACAATGTGGGGTTTGCATACAAAATATTAATTTCAAAGAAGGTCACTGGCAGGCCTAGGCATTTCGGTCAAGTTAAATAATAACCAGTAGCTCGTAGCTCACTGGTGGCGCATTTGGCTCACAACCAAAGGATCCAGGTATTGGGACGGGTGGAAACGTCGAGCATGTTTCCTTATACCTGGAGTACATTTTGAGGGGTCAACCCCCCTCCCCCCAGCGACCCGAACTGTGACCAGACCTGTTCTCCAGCAGTAATTAATTATCTGGGTATTGCCGACTCTTCTGTATCACACGCTAGTGTTATTCTCCCTCCGGGGTTATTAACCCCCAGGGGAAGTGATCTAGGCTCTGTTGGTAGCGTTCCGAGCTCACACACGAAGGACCTGGGTTCGATCCTTGAAGGAGCTGAAACGCTGGATGGAGTAGGATTACAGAACTTCAGTGGAAATAAGACTGACAGTCCTCGAATATATGATGACTTTAATGGGTTATCCTGAGTTATAAACCCTCCCGGTTAATAGTTTGAACAAAATTTTCTTTTTCTTCCGTTGGCAAATATATAATGCCAAAACACATTAGTTAGTCGTTAAAGAGTACAAAATTGACCGTTTTCTATTAATTCGCAAAAACTTTCATTTTCTATGTATGTTAAGGGAAACTTTGATGTTTCTGTTGTGAAGACCTCATGCTCCGTTCTTGTGGCCTTCCTGTGAATTTTCTGTTTGGGTTCATTATTTCCGCTTTCCTGTGCAAGCACTTCGTCAAGAGTGCTTAGCCTGGCAGGAGTGGGACTCGTATTTTCCAAGAGGCTGGCTGGGGACGCTCTCCTTCCATGGATTATAGACGTTCGTCTACCATGACCTCTCTCACTCTGTGGGCCTGCAGTGGGAATCAAGTACTTAAAAATATATCGTAAAATTATTATTGGATCATATTTTTATCATCAGTTCCTCATGTGTGTCTTGGTTCTCTTTCAGGTTATAAGATGTAGAAAATCTCATCCACTGTGGGTTATGTCTTAGAGACAAGATGGACGCAGTAAACCTACTCACCACTACCCCTCAGAGCCTCTACTGCCAGTGGCGTCCTCGGGCGGTTCGAGTAACAAGAGTCAAATTGATAGATATGAGGGTGATGCTGGTGGGCGTGACTCGGGCGTGGGCTGTGGTCATCGTCTGCAGCAGGGCGTGAGAATACACAGACGGGGCAGGAAGACCTCCACGCCCTAGCGAAGCTCTTGTTGGTGAAGCCGTAGATGAGAGGGTTGAGGGCTGAGTTGAGGTAAGCCAACCAGTGTGATAACCACCACAGTAAATTGAAGTAGTCATCCACCTGCAGCCCAGAACGTATCAGTGAGAACAGCTATGGATATAAGCTACACTAATTTTGAATGGCTTTACCTAGAGTCAATCTACGTAATGTAATACTGATGTTAAGGACTACGACATTTATGTTCCTTCAGAACCATTTCACAAATTTATACTAGTTTCCTCAGTAATAGAACAAGGGGCCTACTAACCTGTGTTGGAAGTGGTTCCACTCGCCTACGTTCCTGAACCCAGGTTCCACACTTAACTCCGTTCTGACTTGAGGTTCCACACTTACCTGAGTTCCTGACCTGAGGTTCCACATTTCAATGTCTTCACCTGAGGGGCTCACCTCCCTATATTTCACACTTCGTATCTGTTGAAGAGGACTCCAGTTGGGGGTCCAGATACATAAACCAACTTAACTCCTTTTTAATTTAGTTAGTTTAATATGTTATGCACCCCATACCCATCCTACGGGCGGTAGTCAAAAAATTAGAGGTACACAATGGGTCTAGGGATTGGGCCCTAAAGTTTTGATAGCCATTATTCCCTCACTACAGTTTCGTGGAAAAAAAAACGGTTCTGAGTGCTGTGTATCTTGAGGAAGAGAGAAATGTAGCCTCTTCATAAGACATTCATGACTAGTAGTATACTTTAGCCACTGTTGGCCAAACATTTTTTTAGCAGAGATCCTAAATTGTGCATTATCTTACCTTAGCATTTTGTCTCACTCCTTGTTGGCATCGCCATTCAATTAGCTTTCTGTGTTACTGTCTCCATGTGTTATTATTTAGCATAGACAAGTCTTCGATGCACTTTTATTGGTTACGTAGTGTGTGTAAATTAATATTTTGTTTTGATTAATAAATTTGATCTTGTGTAGCTTATCTTCGTGGCTGCACAATCGAGCCTTCACCAGTATTCTCATCTAACGGCGATAGTAAGTTACTTACATCTTCAGAGGAGTGCACAGTGAAGGCCCTGACAATAAGGAAGATGGTGAATGGTGCGTAGCAGACCAGGTAGACGAGTAACACCACAAACATGAGGGAAAGAAGACGACGACGTCTCCTCTGGGCCAGAGGGTGTTCCCGACCCCTCACTGAAGCTTCGTGTTGGTCCAGCTGATCCATGGAAAAGAAAATCAAAGGTTTCCTTCAGGACGAGCGCCATGATCTCGATTAAAGGCTTTTGAACGAAGAAATTAAAGATCTTCTCTCCTTTGAATCAAATCTGGTTTTCCTCCTCTTCCCCACTAGACCTCCTTTAAAATAGACAGTATCCTTTTGGAAGCTTGCACCAACAATAAGATGGTAGCTGAGGCTTCACACAGCTATGGAAGCTGAGGCCACACGGAGCTATGGAAGATGAGGCCACACAGTTTTAGTAGCCGTAAAATTGAACCGCCAGAATTAAAGGATAGCAAAAGACCTAACGGCTGTGTGTCCTACAGATATCTACATATCACTTACTTGCCTAATCTTTGTTTGTCCTAAATCATTTGCAACCATTCCTTATCCACATCTCTATTTTTATTCTCCTCGTTAGTTTTGCATCATCAGTAAACAGAGACATCGGATGGCTTTATCAATACAAATTCCAGGACATAACTTGAAGTTATGTCCTGGAATTTGTATTGATAAAGCCACTGGATGGCGAAACGTCTACAATAGAGACATCGGAGTCCAGCTTGTATGTCATTCACGTGTACCAGAACAGCATGGAATCATATTTAATGGTTTGACCCATCACCCATGAGTCTCAGCTGGAGCATATGCAGGATTATTCTCTGTATTTGTTTGATAAAGCCACTGGTAGTAAGGAAGGGAGGTAGGTAGGTAGGAAGGAAGAGACCTTGATGCTAACCTTGCAGAAGATGATCATGTAGGCGATAACGAGGAAGATCATTGGCAGCCATATGAGACCCACTACCACGCTGGGCATGTACTCCTTTGTCACCCACCTCTCCTCTGCACAGAAACTCTCCTCGTAGTCCACCCACAGTCTGTCCTGCTGACCCACCAGATACTATTATGATGCTTACGAAGGGCTCTTGATCCCCTTACCCCTCCCCTTCCTGCGATCAAACCTCATTACTTTTCATATTGCATACACTGTGTGATCCCATACAATTTAACCCTTCCTCTTAAATATAACAAAAATACTAATACAAATCTGTCTTTATAGCACCGAATACTTTCTTTGACTGGATAAAACATAAACCTTAATGTATTTATAATTTCAGGTGTATGGGAAGAAATCGTGTAAACAAACGAAGATACTTAGGCGTTTATTGGTGTGTGAACACATGACAACACTCCTGTGTTTGTGCCTGTCAGCAGTACGCTATTTGGATCAACTAACGCTAGGTACTCACGACGAAAAAGCGGTAGAAGATGAGAGGACAGGCTACGAACGCCGCCAGGAGCCAGACCAGACAGCAGGCAGTGACGGAGACCACGGTAGACGCTGGTATCCTGCTGGTGTTTACAGCTAACTTCTTTCCAGTCACCAGGGCTAACCTCTCTCCACACACCAGTGTTAGGCTCAACACTGACACCAGCATCAGGAACACTGCAGCACAGAGCACTTGCACGAGATAATTGTATTAAGGTCTGAGATCTTAAACAGAAAGAGGTAAATATTAACCATAAGATTAACAGACGAGGAATCTAGTCTCACCAGCACTTGTGTTGAAGGACCTTTCCGGGGTTAGCGATACATAAAAATATTATGCTTATTAATGTGCATACACACAAATGTATATATATATATTACTGTCTTGCCAGAAGCCCACTGGCATTACAGGATGCCGTACAAGATGGATATTTTTGTTACAATAAAATATAGCTACCCTCCTTTTTCCTTTCATCCAAGGATGGGAAGGGTAGCCGCAATTCCTCATACCTCGAGCCCTTCACCAGCAAGCCATCTTCCCATTTAAGAATAATCACCCAAAGCCTCTAGTTCTGGAGCCTCACTTTGTATGAAACCCTGAAGCCTGCAGCCGATGGGACCCATTATATAACTCTGGTAGAGGTCCTCCATGGTGAATAGTGTGGGACACAGGGCTGCTATGAGCAGGTCAGCCACCGCAAGGTTCCCGATGAACAGGTTGACACGTGAACGAAGTTTTGGATGTTGAAACAAGACGTACAGGATGACAGCGTTGCCTGTCACACCCACCTGAGGGCACAACACAGGCAACATGTGTGTTTTTTCTTGGCGCTACGAATTTTAATTGACAAATTACTCTCCAGCAACTGAACAAATTTGTTGAGAGGATTCTAACACGCTTTTCTCCAATAATATGCCAAATGTAGGGACATATAATCAACTACCACGTGAAAACATGACACACAATGGAGTGCTGGAGGTATATAATGGAGTAGTAACACGGTGTGACCACAGTAAAGACACTAACCACGGAAATAGGGAGCATAAAAACGATCTTGGCGACAATTTCCGCTGACGACCTATGGACCCAGATGGTGTTTGGAAAGAGCATGCACACAGTGATGGTCACCTGTTCCTCCCACGTTGACTTGTCTGCAAGCAACGACACACTAAACTATTACAAAATACAGGGAAAAGAAATACTCTCCAATTACGTCTGAATCTTTATGAAGAGAGTACTGGAAATGTCAAGGGGGCAAAAATTCATAACAGGAAAGTGGTTAGGAAAAACGAGATACGAAAGTAACAATCTGGTATGAGACTGAAAGTTAAATAATAATAAATAAATGTTAATAATGTTTAATAATTACTAGTAAAATACTTTAGTGTTTATCATTGTTGGTGACAAACTACGCCAATTCGTTATATCCTCACGCAAAATATAATTATTTCATATATAACAAGTGGAGGTGTGAAATATAGTCCAGGAAGAGCTTACATAGTTTGCCGTTGATGCAGACGTGATGCCTGTGTGACACATCTAAGATGCAGGGATCGGTAGGGACACAAGGTATCAGTGGTTCAGGGCCAAGCCGCCAGTCTCTCTTTCCAGCTATGATTTCGGTCTTTCCAGCGATGGTCTCTCTCTTTCCAGCGACGGCCTCTCTCTTTCCAGCGTTGGTTTCTGCCTTCCCAGCGATGGTCTCTCTCTGTCCTACAAAGGTCTCATTACTTACGGTAAACGTTTCCGCCTTTCTAGCAAACATCTCTGTCTTTCGAGTAAAAGTTTCTTCCAGGGGACATACACCTGACTCTGTAGTTGTTAAATATCCAGCTCTTGCATCTTCATAATCATGTGAAGTAAGAATTTCTCTTGATCTGACGTCCACAAAAGAAACGTTGGCATTCAGAAAGGATTGAGATGAATTGGTTCTTCGATGGAGACATTTCTCGTAGAGATAGTGGCAACATGCTGGCAGTGGAACACTAGCACTGGTTGCAGGAGAAATATTGTTTGCAGGTGTAGTGTCCCAGTGGTGAGTGTAAGCCTCGGAGAGTCGAAGGGAATCCACGTTGCTTCCAGAATATATGGTGTTGCCTGTAGTTACCGGCTGATCGATAATGCTATCTGATAAATTTCGATAATCCATATTCCTCTCAAAATATTTTAAATTAAAATGGTAAGAAGAATTTGTATAATTCGTGGCATATGTTAGAGACTTTGAAGGACGCCACACAGCGCTGCACGTTTTTATATGCTTGCAGTTATTAATTGGTTCTCTTCTCCTACTTGTATTTCTCTTGAAATTAAACTCTGTTGAGGTTTTTTGTTTTGGTACAACGTCATCTGATTTATATTGTTTAGTGTTATGAGTTCCAAGGAACTTCAGGTCGTCAGTACTTTGTAATTGTGTGCTTCGTAAGAGTCTTTCTAAAGTGTGTGTTGTGTTAAGTGTTCTAACGATTCCAGAGAACGTGCTTCTTAAGAACGAAGCTGATGAGAATTTATTAGGTATATAATTACAAATCGCAAGGAACTGCAATGACGGGGAGCGTGTATTATTTTCTGGTGAACTCTGTGTTGATGGTAGTTTTTCTGTTGTCGCTGGCCACAGAGATTTGTCTGAAAGAGATGATAATTCTCCACCTTGATGGAATCGCTTGAACAGAGGTGGATGACTCAATATTTCCCTCTTAGTAATCAACCGTCTACCTGCAGCTGTCTCTGGTGGGTGAAAGGCGGGTCTGTGAGCTTCCTTTGAAACAGAGGTTAATACGACGCAAAATACACCGAATTTGAGAAGGAATATTTGAATAATATTCCTCATTGTTGATCTACGAATGTGTTTTACCTCCTGTCAATAATAATCACAGTTTTGTTTACCGACTCCAAATAAACTACATCCAGGAAGGTTTCGTTTCACTCGCCCTTCCGATAATGCCGACCTTCCAGCCAAGGTTGAATGAAGCCAAGGGTCGACAGGAGGTAGAGTCGAGAGAGAGGGATCAGTGTTGCTGATATTAGCTAACTCGAGCCCACTTACGAGAGGGTCGGAGGTCCCACTGTGCTAGAGGAGATTTGTCAACACCAACCAGCATGCGCATGGACATGCGCATGCTGGGACATACAGGGTTTTTCTGACATGCGGGGGATGGGAAACATAGAGCTTAATGGACATGCCGGAGATAAGATACGTAAGGGGTTTAATGGACATGCAAGCGTGTCAGAGGACTTGTTCCCCCAATTAGCAGGATGTAGAACTGTATACGATTGAAGTTCCAAGTTACTAGACACACACAATGTATATGGGACATGCACTCAATGTATATGGGACATGCATTCAATGTATATGGGACATGCACTCAATGTATATGGGACATTCACTATGTATAACCAGTTACTTAACATTCTATCATTCCGTAATCTTAATTTCATATTTATCGCCGTTATTTACTTGGTTCTAAATAATTAATACTACTAATAATAATTTATCATTGTAATTAAATAATACCATTCACTGAGGGTACCTTGATTCCGGGAAAGGGCTCTTGATTCAAGAAATTGGGGCCACCCTACCACTGGATCAAACCTGGTTACCTCCCATACCCCAGGCAGTGTATGACCCCCCCTATGGGTTTAGCGCTTCTCAATAAAAAAAAACTTTGGCTTATTTACGCCCGTGTGTGTGTGACAGCTGACAGCCATATGACTGTCAGCTCTTCCAAATTATAAATAAGCCTAGATAACAGCGTGGCGGCTGTTTTTTGTAATGTCAGCCGCTGTCAGCCACTATCAGTCATTAAAAGGCAAAATCGAAACTTTATTAGCGAGCCTCTCACGGGTACCATTATTTTTTTCCTTCGTAGCAACGAATTAATTGCTGGTGTGTGTGTACTCGCCTAGTTGTGGTTGCAGGGGTCGATTCACAGCTCCTGGCCCCGCCTCTTCACTGGTCGCTATTAGGTCACACTCCCTGCTGAATAAGCTTTATCATACCTCTTCTTAAAGCTGTGTATGGATCCTGCCTCCACTACATCAGTTACCAGACCATTCCCCTTCCTGACAACTCTGTGACTGAAGAAATACTTCCTAACATCCCTGTGATTCATCTGTGTCTTCAACTTCCAACTGTGACGCCTTGTTGCTGTGTCCCATCTCTGGAACATCATGTCTCTGTTAACCTTGTCGATTCCTCTCAGTATTTTATATGTCGTTATCATATGCCCCCCTCCTGTGTGTGTGTGTACTCACCTAGTTAAGGTTTCAGGGGTCGAGTCCTAGCTCCTGGCCCCGCCTCTTCACTGGTCGCTACTCGGTCACTCTCCCTGAGCCGTGAGTTTTATCATGCCTCTGCTTAAAGCTATGTATGGATCCTGCCTCCACTACATCGCTTCCCAAACTATTGTGTATGTGTGTTTACACCGACAGGTGTGTACCTCTCCTTTTCTAACACCATTGGATTTACAGACTAAGAGCTGTTATCTTAGATAGTCCATAGGTTATCTTAGGTAGTTACATAGGTTATCTTAGGTAGTTCCATAGTTAGGTAGTTCTATTAGTTATCTTAGGCAGTCCCATTGTGAGGTTAGGCTTTAGAATAACAGAGAAAACTGTGTCAAAATTTATTAATAAACTACAAAAGGCCTCTGTGTACACACAGTTCAGGGAAGGATCTTGAGTTCCGAGCATCGTCGATGACCTCTGGTGTGCTTCCTGAGGGTCACCAGGTCATGCAGGGTCAGGCCACGCCAAGTCCGAAGCCCCTTCATGACGTGCATGTTCTCACACGTGTCAACCATTAACAACGCAGCTGACAACCCCAATACACAGTTGTACAGCTCCAGGACCTGCTGGGTCGTAACTTGTGTCAGTGACATGGGAGTATATGGATGCATCGGAACGACAGATACCAGAGGACTTGGAAGTCCACACTGAGAAAAACTATTTGCTTGTACCTAGATTAAGAACTGTCGTGTCTTAACTATAAGTCATGGATACTAAATCTATACACAGATAACCCGCACATAGGAGCGAGAAGCATTACGTCTACCACCGCTTCACTTCATTCTTCCCGCCCCTGTCCCCCTCTCCTATGCATACTGGTTTCCTCACCTTCGTGTATTAGTGTGACTTGTAAATGGTCCAAGACGGTCCAAAAGTCGTCATAAGCGTCTCTCTCCTGGAGTTTACCTGGAGAGAGTTCCGGGGGGGGGGGTCAACGTCCCCGCGGCCCGGTCTGTGACAAGGTTTCATAGTGGATCAGGGCCTGATTAACCAGGCTGTTACTGCTGGCTGCACGCAATCCAACGTACGAATCAGTCCGGCTGGTCAGGTACCGACTTCAGGTGCTATATGCGGGTTATCTGCGTACTGTTCCAGTCGCGGTATTGTGCCTTTTTATTCATATAGAAATACTATTGTAATAATTTCTAGCGGTTCCAGGTATTGTTTGGCCCTTACGGGATTGTATAATAATAATCACAATAATTAAAATTAATAATAATACCTCGAGGTGGGTCATCCTATTTACAGAGAGGATTTTGAGGAGGTCGTGTTCTACGAGGGTAGTTGGACGACACACCAGTCGTCGTAGAAGGAAGCACTTGCTGAGAGCAGCCACCAGCCCCTGCCGCACCAGGGCGTAGTCTTTGGCCCAAGCCTTGGGTCCAACCCCCGTCATGCAGTCCAGCTCCAGCACCTGGCAACGAAGGAGAGTATTACTTCGTGAGAACCTGCACGAGTGTTGGAAGTATTTGTGTTGTTAAAGATTGTATATTTACCTATTACTCCTTCGTCTCCTGTAACATCATTAATTTTACCCTTTCAGCGGATCACAGATTAATTAGTCACTGGCGACTTATTACTAGCAATAGTCATGTCGTCTTGTCTGCTTGTGTGAGTGTGTTTTAATCTGTCTCTCATGTCTTTCTATTTTTGTTTCAATTGTCTATTTCTGTCTTGGGACACAGGAACAAATCAAACTGGCAGCAATCCAAGCGTGTGTGTGTCAGTTTTTTTTTAAGAGCTGCCAGCATGGCTATATGCACGGGGCAAGTGCAAGTTGACCACAGCCATAACTACCGCGTGAAGCGATAATTCCTTTTAGGTCAACTAGCACAAAGAATTGTGGAGGCTCGATCCCCCGTCCGGTAACTAAGATGTGATTTTTAACCGGTCAAACCGCTGGTGAATTTGCCTGACCCACCTTGAGCTTCGAGAGAGCAATACTGTCCTTGTTGGTGAGGGCAGCCAGGGAGTCGCGGGCGGGAACAGTGACTGCGGGTAAAGCCAGCTCCTCCAGGTGGGGACAGTTGCCAGCCAGTACCCCCAGATCCGCTTCCCAGTACACGTCTCCCTCCACCCTCAGTGTCACTAGCTGTGACCCCACCGCCCACGCAAACTCGTACATGGCCGTGGGTGAGAGTAAGTACGGCTCTCGCACCGATAGCCGCAGATGCTGCAGTCCAGGAAGTAGCCGCAGGTCGTTGATGGTCACCCCGGCGAAGTTGATAATGGCATTGATGCCCGTGAGAACGGGGCACACACGTCGCAACAGCTGCAGGTTGCCCACTGTCACACAGCGTACGTTTACTTCCTGCAACGCTGTTATTAATGTGTTGTCTCCCAGTTCGTCCATCATTTTCAGAGCTTCGATTACATCCGTCGATCCTAGGCTAGTGAGCTCTGGTAATCTTGTAAGTAGGGCACATACACCTTCTTGTGTTACGCTTGTTGCCCCAACGTCTATATGACGCAGTTTCACCTCTTCGTCTTCGCCTCCACCCCAACGTAGGTTGACGATAACGCGGTTGATGCCTTCGTCTGTGACTCCTGCAGATCCCGACACGTCGAGGTGAGTCAAGTGTCGGCAGTGTCGCGTCAGCAAAGTGAGAGCTTCGTCTGAAGCATTCACTAATCTAACACGACGAAGCCTCTTACAGGTACGACAGAGATCTGTGAAGACTTTCTTGACGGCGTCTGTGAGCAGTGGCGGCATAGTGAGCATTAGATGAGTAAGACCGTCACCATTGTATAGTATTAACTCGATATCTAGAGGCCAGTCAGAGCCGCTGGGACCTGGACGGGGCAGTGTCACATAGACAGGCTCCACTACCATCACTTCCGGGGTCAGGAGCACCAAGGCACGGTTGATAGCCGCTAGTTCCCTGCTGCCATGCTTCAGGTGCAAACCTCCTGCTTTAAGGGCGTTATGCACCATAATAGCTCGCAGGTCCCGAGGTAGGTCCTCAAGGTATCGTTGAACGGCGAAGACGTGCTGTTTAGGTACGTCACGACGCAACACGTACTGCACGCGTTCCAACCAATATTTACTGCACATTTGTTTGAGGGTTATGACAGTAGGGGGGACAATAGGCGGTGGGGCTATCTTATAAGGTGCCAAGGGCAGTGCCTCATGGTGCCGGGCTAGTGCCAGGGGCAGGCGAGGCACGTTCAAGTTGACCACAGCCATAACCACTACACTTCTAATTTTATCTTTCTCGTATTCAAGTAATTCACTGGTTTTCACTACCCACAACACCCTACACTTCACTCTTTTTCACGTAACTTCATTTTTCAATACCCGTTACTATGACTGGGTCGCTATGCTCTCCAGTTTCGTCTGGGAGGTCAGAGAGTGAAGTCCGTACGGAGGGTTTCACACACACATGCTTGTCAATCACTTACGTTTTAATCCATTCAAAACTATCCTGCTTTACGTTAAACGCCATTATATCATGGGCACCTCAAAAGACATGTCACCCAATACGACATGTTCCTTAGCAGCAGATAACAGGACACAGATTCAGATGGACGCTTCTGTACCATCCTGAAGGAGGTGCTGACGGGGTGGGAAACCTAGTGTCTCCGAGGAGGTGCAAGAATACAGTGGCGGGAGACAGCAGTGGTTATTTACTGAAGGGTAACACCTCCCCCACGCCTCCTGGGTGACTGAGGAGAGGTAAATATATCGCGGGGAGGGTGGGGAAGGGCGAGAGGGGTGCCAAGACAGGGGTGCCAAGCTACCCTGGGAGTGCCACAAGTGGGACGAGCATGATGTTTTATGACTCGTACGGGTTTTGCGCATTTCGTGGATGTAATTTTAATGCAGGCAGCTTTTGCTCATTAATTTAATGCACTCAACCACCCCAATTTCCTCATTTGCCACCACCTCTGTTTATGATCCTTCCTTTATCATTGCAGCATTCGGAATTTAAAAACTGGTAAGTACATTAAAATAAGCTCTCCTCTCTCTCTCTCCTCTCTTATCTCTCTTCCTTCTATAATTATATACAATATTATTTATATAAATGTATAATATAATATTTCTTATTTTTATATTATTCTTATATATATATATATATATTATATTATATATATTATATATATATATATATATATATATTTATATATATATATATATAATATATATATATATATATATATATATATTATATATATATATATATATATATATATATATATTATATATATATATATATATATATATATATATATATATATATATATATATATATATATATTATATATATATATATATATATATATATATATATATATTAATATATATATATATATATATATATATATATATATATATATATATATATATATATATATTATATATATATATATATATATTAATAATATATATATATATATATATATATATATATATAATATATATATATATATATATATTATATATATATATATATATATATATATTATATATATATATATATATATATATATATATATATATATATATATATATATATATATATATATATATAAATGTGCCGAATATATAAAACTGGCCAATTAGCAAGAACTCATTTAAAATTAAGTCCTTTCTAAAATTTTCTCTTATACGTTTAAAGATATATTTTTTTCATTAATGTTGATGCAAAAATTTATAATTTTGCACCAAAAGGAACTTAGAAAACTTACCTAACCTTATTATAACAAGAACAATTTATTTTAGCCTAACCCAACTAAATATATTTTAGATTTGTTTACAATAATTTAATACTAAACAAACACAGTGAAATATATTTTTTTCGTTGGGTTCAGAATGATTTTGGCAAAATTATTGCATACACAAATTTTCACTTGTCAAGCTGGCACTGGACAAGCACCTAAAGTCGGTTCCTGACCAGCCGGGCTGTGGCTCGTACGTTGGTTTGCGTGCAGCCAGCAGTAACAGCCTGGTTGATCAGGCTCTGATCCACCAGGAGGCCTGGTCACAGACCGGGCAGCGGGGGCGTTGACCCCCGGAACTCTCTCCAGATAAACTCCAGGTATGGCAAGATGAGCGTTGCTATTTAAGCCAAGATCGCAAGTTCTGCCTATTCGGCACGACTATATATATATATATATATATATATATATATATATATATATATATATATATATATATATATATATATATATATATATATATATATATACACATATTCAAATTCAAAGTTTATTCTCTATAAAGATTACAATGTTGAATTTACAGAATTTGGTTATTGTGTGGTTTACATGTAGTTAAATAATGATTACAGAGTGTACCACTAGAACGCCTAGCATGGCTAGACATTTCGGGCAGACTTAGTTTAATTCTTTATTTTAAAATATTACAAATTATGAGGTAAGTTGGTATTATGGCTAAGTGACTAAATACTAGTTTGTGAGTTTAGCAATGTGAATGCTTTTGTTTTGGCACAGTACATAGTTTTAGTATTGGAGTATCATAGGATTCATTATTTTAAGATTGAGATTAATATTTCTGTTTATGGTCAAATGGGTGAGTGAGTGTAAGTGTGAACCACCAGGTGGTATTCGTGTAGTTAGTTGGCGGGGTGTATCAGGGAGATAAGATGTTTTCTAATGGTAGTTTTGAAGGTGATGAATGTGCCTGCAGTTCTAGAGTTCTCAGGTAGGGTGTTCCAGATTTTAGGGCCTTTGACATACACTGAATTTTTGTAAAGGTTTAGTCGGACACGGGGAATATAATATAAACACAGGCAGTATAATGTGATCCTTTATTGACTACGTTTCGCCCACACAGTGGGCTTTTTCAAGTCACAAACAGAACTCACAGAGTTCTGTTTGTGACTTGAAAAAGCCCACTGTGTGGGCGAAACGTAGTCAATAAAGGATCACATTATACTGCCTATGTGTTTATATTTCCATTGTGTCGGTATTTTATACCATTTATTTCCATGGGGAATGTCGTAGATTATTATTATTATTATAATCAAGGGGGAAGCGCTAAACCCGGAGGATTATACAGCGCCTGGGGGGGATGTGGAAGGCATTCAGGCTTAATTCGGGGAACTGGAGCACAGATCTAATTCCCTAAATCAAGAGCCCCTCACCAACATCAAGGAACCTTCCTTGAGGGGTGGGGAATGTCGTAGAGATGTTTGTGTCTGGTGTTATGCCTGTGGGTTCTGTCACAACTATCAAGAAAGCGTTTTAGGTCAAGGTTGATATTGGAATTTAAGGTCCTGTAGATGTAGATTGCACAGTAGTAAGTGTGGATGTACTGAACAGGGAGTAATATATATATATATATATATATATATATATATATATATATATATATATATATATATATATATAAACATTGTGTTTAAAATCAGAATAAAGGGGATGTTGTACGTCATCGTATTGATCAGAACACAAAGTGCATCTCATATGGTAAGTCTTTTTTCTTAATAACCAAAGAACCCAGGTCAGTTCCAGGGCGGATGGAAACGCTGAGCAAGTTTCCTTATGCCGTTATTTTTTTTTCTTTTGATATAGAGGAGTTACTAGGGTCTTCATACTTCTCAATCCAGTCTGAATAGAATACGACTCCAGTGGAAATAAGTCAATTATTTGTTAGTTATCCTGGGTAATTTACCCATATGTTTTTAGTAATATATCAGTAGTACATAATATCGACAAGATGATAAATAAGACACATGTGCGATATCTGGTTATATTTATTTTCAAGACGTTTCGCCCTCCAGTGCTTTATCGATACAAGGACATAAACGGAAGGCTGAAGAAAAGGAGGTAATCAGTCCCTCAGCTTCACATAATCATATACGGAAGACAGTAGATAAGGTAATCACAGGACTTCCAATGGAGGTCAATCACTTTGTCTGACCTTGTTTAGTTATCCTGTGTAATTTACGCATATGTTATTAGGTATAATATTTGTGCTTATGTGTACGTGTACCTAAATAAACTTACTTGCTTATGTAACTGTGTTAATGGCAACTACTGTATATTCTCTGTTTTTCATAGATTCCCCTTAAATTTAAAAATATCATTTTCTTAGATATTTGTGAATGATAGAAAACATAATGTATTTGGGTTAACTATAGCTGTTGAAATTCCTTGCAACGGGGGACCTTGTTGCCAATGAAGGGCTCTTGATTAAAGGAATTGGGGTCATCCCTCTCCTTCCTTGGATCAAGCTTAACCCCCTCCTTCAGAGTGCAGACACTGTACTTCCCATATAATATATATATATATATATATATATATATATATATATATATATATATATATATATATATATATATATATATATATACCTAGGTAGTAGGTTGGTAGACAGTAACCACCCAGGGAGGTACTACCGTCCTGCCAAGTGAGTGTAAAAGGAAAGCCTGTAAATGTTTTACATGATGGCAGGATTGCTGGTGTCATTTTTTTGTCTCATGAACATGCAAGATTTCAGGTACATCTTGCTACTTCTACTTACACTTAGGTAAGATAAGATAAGATAAGATTTCGTTCGGATTTTTAACCCCGGAGGGTTAGCCACCCAGGATAACCCAAGAAAGTCAGTGCGTCATCGAGGACTGTCTAACTTATTTCCATTGGGGTCCTCAATCTTGTCCCCCAGGATGCGACCCACACCAGTCGACTAACACCCAGGTACCTATTTGCTGCTAGGTGAACAGGACAACAGGTGTAAGGAAACGTGTCGAATGTTTCCACCCGCCGGGAATCGAACCCGGGCCCTCCGTGTGTGAAGCGGAAGCTTTAGCCACCAGACCACCGGGTCACCACACACATACATGTACAAGCATATATATATACATACCCCTCTGGGTTTTCTTCTATTTTCTTTCTAGTTCTTGTTCTTGTTTATTTCCTCTTACCTCCATGGGGAAGTGGAACAGAATTCTTCCTTCGTAAGCCATGCGTGTTGTAGGAGGCAACTAAAATGCCGGGAGCAAGGGGCTAGTAACCTCTTCTCCTGTATATATTACTAAATTTGAAAGGAAAAACTTTCACTCTGTCTGACTTTTTTGGGTTATCCTAGGTTCTCTACACATATGCTGCTATGTAGGATAATTCTATGTAACTGTATTGTGTATACCTGAATAAATTTACTTACTTACTTACTTACTTTTGGGCCACCCCGCCTCGGTGGGATACGGCCGGTATGTTGAAAGAAGAAGAATATATATACACATATACATATATATATTTATTTATTTTAAATTAATGTTATATGCATTTTATGTGTCCATAATGTATGTGCCATCAAATTCACTATTTGTTTTATATAAAATAAGCAAGCAAGCTAATTTTAATAAAAACTTATCTTACAGGTTTGGCACTTCTTCCCTGAATATAAAAGCATAAAAAGAAAAAACAAGAAGAGAAGAAAAAAAATAAGAAAACCTGTATGTCAGTCACAGAAGATAATTTTTCTCCTATACCATGTGCTGCTACTTTCTTCATTAGTCACCTGTAAGGATCTATCAGAAACCTTACTAAAATCGACATGCAGAGTAGAAGGTTAGTAGAGTCATAAGGCAGGAATGTCCTGAGACTTGTTGATTAAATTATATCTTTAAAAGGTAGTTCTGAATTTCATCTGCATTTATTAATAAGTAAGTTTATTTAGGCATGGGTATACATAAGTACAATTATCATACATGGTGTAAATTAAATAGTATAACCCAAAAAACATGACTCACGAAATCGTAATGACACAAAGTGACTTACTTCCATCAGCCTTCCCACAATTAAGTTTAATGCTGATTGGTCTGTAATTTGAAGTCAAGAAACTGTCTCCTGCTTTGTAAATAGGTATCACATTTGCCATATTCCACTTATTTCATTCTGTTTGCCATGTTCTGTTGAAGAGACTAGCTAATGGATAAGATAAGATTTGTTTGAATTTTTGAACCCAGAGGGTTAGCCACCCAAGAAAGTCAGTGCATCATCAAGGACTGTCTGTCTTATTTCCATTGGGGGTCCTTCCATCTCATCCCCCCGGATGCGACCCACACCATTCGACTAACACCCAGGTACCTACTTACTGCTAGGTGAACAGGGGCTGCAGGTGTAAGGAAACGTGCCCAGCACTTCCACCTGTCTTGGGGGTCGAACCATGGATGCTCAGTGAGGCTAGTGCGTTGTCAACCAAGCCACGGGGCACTTTACATTTCTCTAGAATCCTCGAAAACAGCTCATCAAGGCTTGATAACTTGTTTGATATCAATCTGTCTAGTTGCCTGTGGACCATCTAACTAGTGACTGATTCTACATAATTTATTCTTGTCTTTATCTTGTATAATTGATGATTTTGGGGATTTTATTTCTATTTTTTGTGTACAAGAAGAGAGGAAATAAATGCAGAAAATTGTACACATTTCTATCACTAACAGTATGTTGACCTGAGTTGCATTTAAGTAGGCCTATCTTTTTACTCTAATCTTATTCCAGTATACCTGGAAGAAAACGTTTGGGTTAGTCCTTGATTCCCTCACAACCTTAATTTCATATTCTTTCTTGGCTTTAATTATTCCATTTTTGACTTCTCTTTTAATATATTGGTTAATTAAGGCGACCCATTTTTCTTTTAATTTCCCTGCCAATTCTTTTAATTTGCCTGTAAATACCTCTCTTTTCATCCTAAAGATATTTTATATATTGTTCATCCATTTAGGGTCATTTATATTTTATTTCATTTTTTCTATTAGGAATATAAGTTGCTTGGGTAGTTTGTACAATGCTTAGAAGAATTTAGATTGGCAACCACACCTTCTGTTCAGTCTCCCTCTTTATAGTCCTTACTAATGTTACCCCATTCAACATTACTGAAGGAATACACAAATAACACAACCGAAATGTCGTCGTAAATTCCTCTCTCCTGTGTGCGGGTTATTTGTCTGTTCCTGTCATGGCATCCTGTCTTTTTGTTCTTCATTACTGAAGTAATCTTGTAGGTCTGTATAATCTGTAGTGTGAAAATTGAAGACCTTGATTTAGTTATTGTTATAAAGGTAATTCAATGAGACATTGAGGCTGTGTGATTTGTGATCACTTTCTCCAGGCTCTTCATTAACCTCAAGATTATTTTTCAGAGATTTCTTGTTAGCTAGAAACAAGTCAAGAAGGTAATTTCCTCTAAATGGCTCTGACACAAACTGTTTAAATATGCAATCTGGAACTATTTCAAGAAGTCACTAGATTAGATTTCACGTCAAATTTCTCCAATGAATTTGGTTGGTTAAAATCTTTCATTAAAGCTACTACACTTTTGTATCTAGATGCCTTAGCAGTTTTATCCTATAGAAGTTTACTGTGACCCCTATCTAGGGTTTGTCGATCACATCTAAGATTAGCTTTTGATGCCCTTTGAGTTTAGCTTTAGGTTATGATTATAATAATAATAATCACAACCTTTGAGAAACTGCTACCAAACAGATTAATTGTCTGTCTATTTGCCTTTATGTCATCTCTAATGCAACTATTTAAATTTCCATAGCTTACATTACAAATTCACCTCTTTCCTCTCGACTCTATGAGAGTGGATAAATTTATACCTCTGTATGTGGCATTGAGCAGGCATGTCCCTATTTTTTAGATAGAACCAGGTCTTAGTTATTGCAATAATATCTGTTTCCTGCTTATGCAATTAGTCTTAGTTCTTCTTTTTTATTTCTTGCACTCTGGCCATTTGTATAATAGATGCTAAAGAATTGTTTTCCTATCATCTTCCATTTGTCTCTCTTTGTAGACCAGTTTCCTTATTATTGGTAACTATTTTATGAGCTATCTTGTTTTCTGAATGTTTTCCTAACATCTTGGTAATTTTTACTCCCTCCATCCCAAGCACTACAATCCCATTTTTCTCCACATATATATGTACCTCTGTCTTGTGTCTGTGGATTGGTTGTGTATTGAGGTTGTATTAATATTGGTAGAATTACCAACAATATGTTAAGTAAAAGGACATAAATGCAACTAATGTGACATTTTATTGTGGCAATGTTTGCTCTCCAGGAGCTTCATCAAGCCGTAATGGCTTGATAAAGCTCCTGGAGAGCGAAACGTTGCCACAGTAAAATGTCACATTAGTTGCATTTCTGTCTGTTGAGGTTAAATGGGATACAATTGGGTTGGTTGTCTATTGAAGTTAAAAGGGATACTAAAGCATATGCCATATCAAGCCACAGTCAGCAACCAGGTTTCCCCAGGTTGCATAAATCTCTGAACATCATTTTTAATTTTTATATAATGTTACTACACAAGTGTATTAATATCTGTATACGAAGGTAGATGTTATTACAGAGGAGGACACGCAGAAAATCTGCTCTCTGTAATAACATTCACCTGGACAGACTCGAATGTCGACTACCTGAAATGAGAGATCTCTCGCCCAGTTAGTCCACCAAGGAGAAGTTTTATGTCATTTTATGCTACTTTGCTGCAAAATTTCAGCCTTGTTTTAACAAAAATGTTTTTAGATTTAGTTTCTTTATTTTCAGTCATTGCATTTACAAAATACGTACAGTATACAGTAATAAAAAAAAAACCATAGGATACACAGCATGGTATTAACAGGAAGTTAAAAAAAAATGCAGGTTCAAACATAATTCATAAAATAAAAAAAAATACAATTGTCTCATTGTAAAAGGATGAGTAGAACTAATTTATGAACTTACAACACAATGTAAAATGAGGATATATAAAATTCGATGCAGTGTAATTCATTATACTCCTATACTGGCCAGGAATTACCAACACACTGCTTACAGCTTCTGGTATTGTTGGAATCACTGCTCTCCATCACTCCTGAACCTTGGCATGAGTTGATCTGTATGCCTTTTCCATATCATATTGCCAAAACCTAATCCCTAATACCTCCACAATCTTTCCATCTACAAAAGGTTCACCTCTCCCTAAATTTCTGGTATTTACAGCATCATCAACTTGAAATTGCTTCTCATCCTCCTGAAGTTCATCAGACTTGTCTTCCCTAACCTGACATTTACAACCATAACAATTATGCTACATTTTTAAACTACTTCCATGTTTGTATGCTTGTTATATTCATTGGGAGGGGGTAAAGGAGGTTTTGTGTGCGAGGGGCTTGGACTTCCAGCAGGCATGCGTGAGCGTGTCTGATAGGAGTGAATGGAGACAAATGGTTTTTAATACTTGACGTGCTGTTGGAGTGTGAGCAAAGTAACATTTATGAAGGGGTTCAGGGAAACCGGCAGGCCAGACTTGAGTCCTGGAGATGGGAAGTACAGTGCCTGCACTCTGAAGGAGGGGTGTTAATGTTGCAGTTTAAAAACTGTAGTGTAAAGCACCCTTCTGGCAAGACAGTGATGGAGTGAATGATGGTGAAAGTTTTTCTTTTTCGGGCCACCCTGCCTTGGTGGGAATCGGCCAGTGTGATAATAAAAAAAAATAATTTATTCTATGTCTCTCTCTAATGTCTTTCTTTACATATATTTACAGTACAGTGGACCCCCGCATAATGATATTAATCCGTTCCTGAGAGCTCATTGTTATACAAAATTATCGTTATGCGAATGAATTTTCCCCATAAGAAATAATGGAAATCAAATTAATCCGTGCAAGACACCCCAAAGTATGAAAAAAAAATTTTTTACCACATGAAATATTAATTTTAATACACACAAACTGAAAAAGGCATGCACAGTTACATGACACTTACCTTTATTGAAGATCTGGTGATGATTGATGGGATGGGAGGAGGAGAGTCTTAGTGTTTAGAAGGGAATCCCCTTCCATTAATACTTGAGGTGTCAAGTCCTTTTCTGGGGTTACTTCCCTTCTTCTTTTAATGCCACTAGGACCAGCTTCAGAGTCACTGGACTTCTGTCGCACAACATATCTGTCCATAGTGGCCTGTACCTCTCGTTCCTTTATGACTTCCCTAAAGTGTTTAACAACAGTGTCAGTGTAATAGTCACCAGCACGGCTTGCAATAGCTGTGTTAGGGTGATTGTCATCAAAAAAGGTTTGCACTTTAAGCCACATTCCACACATTTCCTTAATCTTTGAAGTAGGCAACTACTTCAATTTCTCTCTCCCCTCCTCCGAACCAGTTTCCTCAGGTCTGGCCTCTTGCTGTTGAAGTTGATCTAGCAGCTCATCAGTGGTTAGTTCTTCATTGCCCTCCTCCACCAACTCTTCCACATCATCTCCACTAACCTCCAACCCCAAGGACTTTCCCAATGCCACAATGGATTCCTCAACTGGCATACTCCTCTCAGGGTTAGCCTCAAACCCTTCAAAATCCCTTTGGTCTACACATTGTGGCCACAGTTTCTTCCAAGCAGAGTTCAAGGTCCTCTTAGTCACTCCCTCCCAAGCCTTACCTATAAGGTTTACACAATTGAGGATATTAAAGTGATCTCTCCAAAACTCTCTTAGAGTCAATTGAGTTTCTGAGGTCACTACAAAGCATCTTTCAAACAGAGCTTTTGTGTACAGTTTTTTGAAGTTTGCAATAACCTGCTGGTCCATGGGCTGCAGGAGAGGAGTGGTATTAGGAGGCAAAAACTTCACCTTAATGAAGCTCATGTCCCCATAAAGTCGCTCTGCCACGTCTGTAGGATGACCAGGGGCATTGTCTAACACCAGGAGGCACTTAAGGTCTAATTTCTTTTCAGTTAGGTAATCTTTCACATTGGGGGCAAATGCATGGTGTAACCAGTCATAGAAAAAGTCCCTAGTGACCCATGCCTTACTGTTTGCCATCCACAGCACACACAAATTAGCCTTGAGGATATTCTTTTGCCTGAACGCTCTGGGAGTTTCTGAGTGATACACTAATAAAGGCTTCACTTTGCAATCACCACTAGCATTGGAACACATCAACAGAGTAAGCCTGTCTTTCATAGGCTTATGTCCTGGGAGTGCCTTTTCCTCCTGAGTAATGTAGGTCCTGCTTGGCATTTTCTTCCAAAACAGGCCTGTTTCATCACAATTAAACACTTCTTCAGGTTTCAGTCCTTCACTGTCTATGTACTCCTTGAATTCCTGCACATATTTTTCAGCTGCTTTGTGGTCCGAACTGGCAGCCTCACCATGCCTTATCACACTATGTATGCCACTACGCTTCTTAAATCTCTCAAACCAACCTTTGCTGGCCTTAAATTCACTCACATCATCACTAGTTGCAGGCATTTTTTTAATTAAATCCTCATGCAACTTCCTAGCCTTTTCACTTATGATCACTTGAGAGATGCTATCTCCTGCTATCTGTTTTTCATTTATCCATACCAATAAGAGTCAACATCTTCCATCACTTGCGATCTCTGTTTCAAAAACACAGTTGAACCTTTGGCAAGAACAGCTTCCTTGATTGCCATTTTGTTGGACACAATAGTAGCGATGGTTGATTGGGGTTTACTATACAACCTGGCCAGCTCAGAGACACGCACTCCACTTTCATACTTAGCAATGATCTCTTTTTTCATCTCTGTAGTAATTCTCACCCTTATTGCTGTAGGGTTGGCACTAGAAGCTTTCTTGGGGCCCATGGTCACTTATTTTGCAGATAAAATCACCAAAAACACTGTAATAATATGAAATGTTCCAATTGTATGCTTGGATGTTACCGCGGAGGCTGGCTGGTAAACAATGCCACCGGTGGAACATGTGAGGCTCGCTCAGGCCGCACATTAGACGCGTCTCGGATGAACAGCATTGAGCGGGTTTTTTAGCGGTATGCGAGGCAAAATCTTAGCGATAAAATGTATCGGTATGCGGATTTAACGTTATGTAATGCCAACGGTATGCGGGGGCCCACTGTACAATGTTAATTACATTCCTTAACATTCTAGTAGTCTTAAGTTTTAGCTTTTCCAAGATCTGCATAACCAGGGGCTTTCCCTGAGGACTGTGAAATGTCATTCAGTCTTATAAAATCTATGTTTCTAATGGAAATAAAATATTTATTTTAAATTATTATTATAATCACGGGGAAGCATTAACCTGCAGGATCGTTGTCTGATGAATGGGGTGGTAATCAGGCTTGACCCAGGAACAGGGAAGGTAGCTCAAATTCAAATATAAATTTTTATTTCTTTGCATAGTATGGTGGAACCTTGGTTTTCGTTTGTCCTGGTTTTCATGGAATTTGGTTTTCAGCGACTTTTTCGTCAAAATTTTATCCCAGTTTTCATTCATCACCTTGGCTTTCGTCAGTCTGCTGTACCAAACGTGTCTGCCTTCCCACACCCACACAAAGCATCCCATGCATTCTGAGTCAGTCTGGCTTTGTTTCTCATCAAGTGAGCATTACCCTGCATGTTCATCCGAAACATTTCGTAATAATCCATTGTTTTTTGTGCTTGTTTATTGAGTGCGACTGCTAAATAATCCACCATGGGGCCAAAGAAAATTTGGGGTGCCAGCCCTTTGATAAAGAAGGCAAGAAACACTGTAGAATTCAAGAAAGAACTCGTAGCAAGGTATGAAAGTGGTGTACGTGTAGTCAGTCTCGCCAGGATGTATGGGAAGTCCTCATCAATGAGGAGGAAGAGAGAGGGGAGAATGTGCCTTCTTCAATGATTAAGGACATATGTGCAAATTGGAGTGAGTTGCAAAGTTTTGTGGAGGATTATCACCCTAATCAAGTTGTTGCAAGCCATGTCTGCAACATGTTCAATGACAATGCCTTGTCCCATTTTAGGCAAGTCTTAAAGAGACGCCAGAAACAGACCTCTCTGGACAGGTTTTTTGTGCGACATAGGTCCAGTGCCAGTAAAAGACAAAGAAAGGAAGTAACCTCGGATAGGGACTTGATACCTTAAGTCCTTATGGAGGGGGATTCTCCTTCCAACCAGTAACCTCTCCTCCCTCTCCCCTCATCACATCTTCCATACGCCAACAAGAGTCTTCAATAAAGGTAAAAGTGATATTAAATGTTCATTTATTAATTTTATTAGTCCTTTCTATTTACGTATTTCTCATTGTTTTCTGTATGTAAAACTATAGTTATTCTCTATAAAATGTATTTTTTTGTTAATGCTTTTGGGTGTTTGGAACAGATTAATTGGATTTACATTATTTCTTATGAGAAATATTGCTTCAGTTTTCGTCGAATTCGGTTTTCGTCAGACTTTCTGGAACAAATTAACGACGAAAACCGAGGTTCCACTGTATATAATGTGTAGTTTACATGTTATAAAATATTGTTATGCACAAAGAAAGCCACTAACATTTTGGGCAGACTAAAGATCATTAGTATGTAAGTTTATTTAGGTACAGGCACACAAGTACAATTGTCTTGCATAGCAATGTAGTATGTGTAAATTACCTAGGATAATCCCAAAAAGAGTCAGACAAATTGGCTTATTTCTTTGAAGCGATGCAAATTTTACTGGGTGTTGTAGTTAAGTGTTGTGTCGTATATGCGGTAAGATTTTTTTTGTCAATTAAGTTCTCATGATTGTATTTTCTTACAGAAGTGTGATGTGGAGAATGATGGGCCAATACCTGCCCCTCACCATGCTGTTGTAGGGTACATTGGTACCTGTAATGGTTCTTGTTCATCATGCCTAGTGTCTCAGTCAAGACACAGTGCAGCGACCATTCAGAAAGGTATATCATTGCTAACCTATACTTCTTTCTTTCTTTCAACAAACCGGCCATATCCCACCAAGGAGGCAGGGTGGCCCAAAAAGAAAAACGAAAGTTTCTCTTTTTAAATCTAGTAATTTATACAAGAGAAGGGGTTACTAGCCCCTTGCTCCCTGCATGTTAGTCGCCTCTTACAACACACATGGCTTATGGAGAAAGAATTCTGCTTCACTTCCCCATGGAGATAAGAGGAAATGAACAAGAGCTAGAACTATTAAGAAAACCCAGATGGATGTGTATACAGTGGAGCCTCTACTTGTGAGTGCATCCACGTGCTAGTTTTTCCAAATACGAGCAGTCAATGGGCTAATTTTTTGCTTCCATAAGCGAGCAGACCTCTAGGCAGGTTCCTTGACGCTGATGAGGGGCTCTTGCTCTTGATCTAGGGAATTGTATGTCATTTGTTTGTTGGACTATCTTATTGAAACTTGGGCAATGTATGATGGAAAGATGCTTCTTAATGTACACCAAAAATGAAAGAAATCTAAGCATAAATAATGGAGTTCACTTCTCAGCAGTTAGCCACCCCTTAGCGGTATTTTCGTATGGTTTTTATGGTCTCATTAAATAGAATGGAAGATATATTACAGAAATAGATATGATTTTGATTGCTTTCTTGACGAAAAGTACCTTGAAATTGAGCTCAACGTAGGAGAAACATTTGATTATTTTGGCTATGTTCAAGAGTAAACAAATTAAGTTACTGTCAATTCCAGTATGCAGTCGTGAATGGGTTGACATTATTTATACAATTATTGCAATAAGGCATAACAGTAAATCTTATATTTTTTGTGTGAATAAAAATTACATATTCTTTATTTTCTAATAATAATAATACGTAATAATAGTAATAGTATAATATAATACAATAATAATAATAATACAGTGGACCCCCGCATAACGATTACCTCCGAATGCGACCAATTATGTAAGTGCGTTTGTACGTGTATGTTTGGGGGTCTGAAATGGACTAATCTACTTCACAATATTTCTTATGGGAACAAATTCGGTCAGTACTGGCACCTGAATATACTTCTGGAGTGAAAAAATATCGTTAACCGGGGGTCCACTGTACATGTATAATATTAATGTACTACATAATAATAATTATAATAATAGACGGCTTTAAAAGGCCGTCACTAGATGGCAATGTTTACCACAACCAAGAGGGAGCAGTTGTGGCCGCCTCCACCTGTTACATAATGACATATTTTATTCATTCTAGAGTATATATCAGGTTTCTATGTTATTTATATTGTTTATTATTTCACATTAGATGAACTGTGATAGATAAATAAGCCGCAGAGTTGATAGTGAAATATTCAAGGAGTATTTTGTCCTGTCTCCAGACAAACTGTTGTCGGCCACCGCCACATATATACTAATGACGTACAGTATTTTATTCATTCTAGAATATATATCAGGTTTCTTTGTTATTTATATTCACTGGGGGTATGTTGCATCACCTGCCAAGTCTTTTGCTTTTGTAGGGAGTGATTTGTGTGTGCAGATTAGGGACCAGTCCCTCAAGGATCTTCCAGGTGTTGATTATGATATATTGCTCTCACCTGCACTCCAGTGAGTACAAGTCAAGTGCTTCCAGGCGCTCCCAGTAGTTAAGGTGTTTGATGGAACTTATACGTGCAGTAAAGGTTCTCTGTACATTCTCTAGATCTGTAATTTCATCTGCCTTGAATGAGGATGTTAATGTACAGCAGTATTCCAGCCTAGAGAGAACAAGTGATTTAAAAAGGTTCATCATTGGCTTGGCATCTCTTGTCTTGAATGTTCTCATTATCCATAATATCAGTTTCCTTGCAGATGTGATAGTGGCACTGTTGTGATCCTTGAAGGTGAGATCCTCAAACATTACCACTCCCAGGTCCCTCACATTACTTTTCCACTTTATTATGTGATTAGAGTGTGTAGTATACTCAGTTCTAGCTGTTATTTCTTCCAGTTTTCCATAATGGTTTAGTTGGAATTTGTCTTCATTGAACATCATATTGTTCTCCATTGCCCATTGGAAAACTTGGTTTATATCTTCTTGGAGATTTGCTGTGACCTCAAAGAATAACACACTCATGCAGATCCTAGTATCATCTGCAAAGGATGATACAGTGCTATGGTTTACATCTCTGTCTATGTCTGATATGAGAATAAGGAACAGGATACAGGCGAGTACCGTGCCTTGTGGAACAGAGCTCTTCACTATGGCAGCTTCCGATATAACTCTGTTTACCACTACTCTTTGTGTTCGATTGGATAGAAAGTTGAAGATCCATCTGCCTACTTTGCCAGCTATCCCTTTAGCACTCATTTTGTGTGCTATTACACCATGATTGCACTTGTCAAAGGCTTTTGCAAAATCTGTGTATACTACATCTGCATTCTGTTTGTTTTCCAGTGCATCCAAGAACATATTATAGTGGTCCACTAGTTGCAAGAGGCAGGAGCGACCTGCTCTGAACCCATGTTGCCCTGGATTGTAAAATTTTTTTGGAGCCCAAGAGGTTTTCACTCCTGCCTCTTTCAAATATATTTATGATGTGGGATGTTAAAGCTATTGGTCTGTAGTTCTTAGCTATTGCTTTGCTGCCACCTTTATGGAGTGGGGCTATATCTGTTGCTTTTATTGACAGTGGAATCTCACCTGTGTCTATGCTCCTTCTCCATAGCATACTTAGGGCCCGTGAGGGGGGTTTCTTGTAGTCCTTAATGAACATAGTGTTCCACGAGTCTGGCATGGGGCTGAGTGCATGGGCATGTTGTTGATGGCTTTCTTAAAGTCAAGTGGAATTAGGGTTATGTCAGAAATCTGGCATATATTGGCAGGGTTTTGAGGCTCATTCATGAAAAAATTGTCATATCTCACTCATTTCTTTGCTGTCATCTGTGTAGGATCCAACTTGTCTGAGCCGGACCCCTATACTAGAAGTGGTTTTAGCCTTGTTTTTGGCATCGAAAAGAAATATTCGAATTTCTTTCAATTTCACTAATCGCTTTTAGCTCCTCTTGCGTATTGTGACTGCTTTTTGTTGTAGCTCTCAAGGAGAAGTTTAAGTAAAGGGTTTATATTGGAGCTTAATGTTCTGTATATACTATAGTAAGCACAATAATACGAGTGTATGTCTTGTATGTTTAGTAGGTTCAGGCTTTTGAAGAGTGGTGGGGTGTGTGTGGAACAGGAGCTGGTAATCATCTGTACAGCTGCCTTTTGTTGGGTTATTAAAGGTTTGAGGTGGTTGGCTGGGGTTGATCCCCAGGCACAAATACCATAGATGAGGTAGGGATATATTGAAGAGTGGTATAAGGTAAGGAGTGTCATTTGGGGTACATAGTACCATATCTTGGAAAGGATGCCTACTGATTTGGAAATTTTCTTGGATATATTCTGGATGTGGGAATGAAATTTAAGTTTACAGTCAAGGTAAAGACCTGGAAATTTACCCTCGGTATTTCTTGTAATGTGGGGAACCATTTATCGATATATTAAGTTGCATATTTAAGGCTGTTTCCAAACAGCATGAAGTATGTTTTCTCTGTGTTGAGAGCGAGTATGTTGGTCATCATCTAAGTACGTATATATTTTTAGCAGCTTGTTTACAGCGTTTAGAAAACCCAGCAATACGCTGTAGATAACAGATGGGAAGTACAGTGCCTGCACTCTGAAGGAGGGGGTGGGTATATTTGCAGTTTTGAATTTTAGTATCAGTGCCCCTCTGGCAAAACAGTGATAGAGTAATGGTGAAAGTGCTTCTTCTTTCTTTTGGGCCAACCTGCCTTGGTGGGGAAACAACCAGTGTATTAAAAAATAAGACATAGTGAAGTAGATATGAGGTTAACTCCTCAGCCTGGGTGTTCTGCTCCATAACCATGATGAATTGATCAAAGCCATATAATAGTACACTTCCTCTGTTTCTGTTTTCTACAGTATTGACATCACCTCTGTATTTTGACTGATGCAGCCTGTTGAGCAAGCAAAATGTCTTCACAGTATGTGTTTCACACTGTAATATTAAAACTATCACTGTTATATTTAGCCATATAAGGAAATTGGAGTTTTGTTCATGGGATGAAAGTCAATGTAGGTGATGGGGTTTTTTCCAAGGAATAGGAGTTATCCTTCCTTTTTATAGATCAAACCTAATTAGCTCCCATTCCTTCACTATATGACCCCCCTACAGGTTTAGAGCCTCTTTTATTGTAATAATTCCTTATAGAGAAGCACCAAACCTGTAAGGGTCACACAGCACCTGCTTTAAGAAAAAATTATTTTGAGACAAGTGTCTTGATGGTTTTGATTTAAAATATTTACCAATGTTAGGTTAATAATGTCATCCAGTTTTATAAGAAAGTGTGTATTATGTGAAAATTATTCATTAATTTTAATAAATGTACAGTGGAACCTTCGTTTTCATTTGCCCTGGTTTTCGATACGTAAAACATTGGGTATCTTTATTGTAGACGTTTTGCCATCCAGTGGCTTTATCAATATAAATTCTAGGACCTACTGTCTTCAAATTATATCCTAGAATTTGTATTAAAGGCACTGGATGGTAAAACATTTATAATAAAGATACCCAGATGTTGCAAATGTCTTAATTTGCATCTTGTCTGTATTCTATATGTTGTTAGGTATCTTTATTTCGAAATGTTTCACCTATACAGTAGGCTTCTTCAGCCGAGTACAGCAAAGTTGATAGAAGTAGAAGAGACTGGAAGACGATGTAATCAGTCCATCACCCTTGAAGTTTTGAGGTAGTCAGTCCCTCAGTCTGGAGAAGAGTATTGTTCCAGACTATGGAAAAATAATCTTCTCCAGACTGAGGGACTGACTACCTCAAAACTTCAAGGGTGATGGACTGATTACATCGTCTTCAAGTATCTTCTGCTTCAATCAACTTTGCTGTACTTGACTGAAGAAGCCTACTGTGTAGGTGAAATGTTTCAAAATAAAGATACCTAACTGTTGCATATGTGTCTTACCTAACAACCTGTCGGTATTTTATACCATTTTATTACATTGTATATTATTCTTGCAATGTCTTAAAAGTTGTACATCATGGAATCTTGGTTCAGAGAATATTTATGTGACCTTCATGACTATTATAACTAAGTTATCTCTGTAGGTATGACCTACTATTGGGGAATCCTGCCGACCAGTGATTGCCCTTGTATCTTCAAGACTAGTGCTTGTCACAACAACTTGAAGACTGAGGAACTGATTACCTCATTTTTATATATCGCTCTATTGTCTTCAATTTATGTCCTAGAACTTTTATTAATAGTAATTGGATGGCAAAATATTTATAATAAAGATTGAGACATGTATTCAAGACTATATTATAAATGTTTTACCATCCAGTGCCTTTAATACAAATTCTAGGATATAATTTGAAGACATTAGAATTATATATATTCCACTGTCTTCAAATTACATCCTAGAATTTGTATTGATAGACACTGGATGGCAAAATATTTATAATATATATAGTCCTGAATATATGTCTCACTTTGAAAACCTTTAATAATTTCTTTGAGTAGCAGCAACACTTTGACAAGTGAATACCATCTGGGGTAGATAATTAAAAAATATTTTCTTTAGCCTGAGAGAACTTTAGTACTGAATGACCCATGCAGGTCAGTCAATGTCTACATTTTACTTGCCCTTAGGTTATCTTTCTATTTTATTTACATCTCTGCACTTCTGTATTATTTCCCACCTGCTTTATTGTGATAAAGCTATTGTAAAGAAAGTGTATGGTATAAGAAAAAATATCAGAAGCACTTGTTTTGATCATTTATTGAGGATGAGAACATAGACAGCATAATTATTGATACATGTTCCATCTACACTTGATCTACTCTAGTATACTAACTCTATCGCAGCCACCAATGCCCCACAGCCTGCCTGAATGAGACTTGGGTCCTCGGTGAGATTCGCTTTAAATTATAGATTTTTAAGCTATGAATAACAGTCTGGTTGTTTAAATAGAGTAAAAATCTATAGGCATCTGGCAACTTTGATTATCTGGTAACTCAGAGGAGAGACCCAAAATGTTGGCACAATAACATGCAACAGTCAACAAGAAAACATTCTGTATGTGGTTCAAGGTAGTTTCAAACAGTTTCAGCAATTTGCAATATTGCTAGAACTCCACGATATCTACAGAAAATCTGCTAAATTGCAAGTCTCTGAAACTGTCAAACTTGCCTCTAAGGGACACTCAGATCAAAGGCTGCGAGGCACTCATGACTGCTGGTACCATATCCTCCATACCATTACCTTGCCAGTACCTGTCCATGACCAGCCTCTTAGCCACAGTCCATTTGGGGGGGGGTACCTGGTGGGGGTCCACAGGCCACAATGTGGGGGGCCTGCGGGACTATTGTACAGGGCTGGTCCACAAACGCGTGACAAATCCTAATATTTGAACCTAGTTTTAATTGCAGTAAAACTTATTTTTCTATTCATAATAGAAAGAATATAAGTTTCACTGAAACTTATTTAAGGTTCAAGGTTTTCATAATTGTCACATGTGCTACAAGAATTCTGTATGAATAACATTATCTGTGCTAAGGCGTCCTTAGGAGAGCACCGAATCTGAAATTCTCACAAAGTTCTTTGCTATTGTGGACTACCGCAATATGGTAGAAACGAACAGCGGAGTGTCTGACAAACTGCACAAACAATTTTATATATTATTGCATCTAAACAGAACATAATTATCAGCAAAGGGAAAAAGAGCATATCTATCGGCACATTGATTATAATCATTATTCGTAATAGTGATGCAATCAACATCATGAACCTTGCCGAGGGCTACCATAAAGAGCCATTTCCCCTGTGTTACTAAATAGAAAACTAAGCCTCATGGTAACCCTTCACAAGACTCATCATTGTTCACTCCCTCACAATAATAACTGTTGGCTACCTTAAAGATAAAGTATGTACAAGCATGAGACTTTATCAACTATTCAATAACACTGCCATCATCATTTCGTAACTCTTTGCCTTGAATTCAAGTTCCAACTTTGTTGTCTATGGTCAGATAAGGGTGTATCAGAGTGAGAGTCGAGGAACTAGATAAGGTTAAATAAGACAGTCAGCCTCATCACAGAAACCCTTAAATGTAAAACAGTAGAAACTGAAATATCTTAATTAGTACATAGTGTGTTTCTGTGACAATAGAGTAGGGAGCATAACAATCTCTGTATAACATGGGGTCACCTACCATTTGGAACATAATGCAAATAAGTATCATTTGTTTCTACTTATTCTGGAGATCAATATCCCATACATCCATAAAAGATATATTCAAGACCATAGTTTGCTTTAAGTTACATCCTTCAGTCACATATTGCATGTGCAGCATAATTTGTAAATTAAATACACCACATATATGCATAGAGAATACTCATTCTAATGTCACAAAAATACATCTGACCTAAGGCAATGGGATGAGTCGTGAGTCACATAATGGGGTCTCTGCAACAGACACATGACTAGGTTCCAAGACAGAAAACGGATAGAGGTTCTTCAAACAGGAAAGAGACAGAAAGATTTAAAGATATCTCAACTAAGCCTGCGGGGTGTAAAGAGGAGTGCCACTATAACTTAAGACTGAGGGTGGTATTTAATTTGTACTTTATAATCCAGCATCACGACTTATCCAACAATCAAGCGTTTAATTACTTACTACATTAGGGCACCAGGAAGGAAGGCAACAGTGGCAATGTATGTATGACCAGATGTGCAACTTCAGGTGAAATGTAATATCTCGATGAGTTCTATAAACATTATAAAGACATCTCACAGTTGCTACCCCTGTCAAATATATAATGATTTTTCTTCACTTTTTCACTGCTTTTGGACATCTTTTATACATTTTTGGACATCAAAATACCACAGTGAAATGCTCAGACGAAAACATTCTAGTCAACCTATAGATCACAATGCCACTTTTAAACGTAGTAGGATGAATATACAACGTCCTCAACAGAGCTCATTCCAGTGGGTCCACCCCAACCCCTCTCTACATCCCGCCTCAAAGGTTCTGCTACGAAATAATACTTCACTTTTGCCTTCAATAAAAGTATCAAAATGCATGTAAAAATACAAAAAGATTCTCGAGCTTATTTTTTTCATTATCCTTTCGCATGTAGCACAGGGGTAATATCCAAAAATTACAGCATTTTTTTTTTATTTCTATAGGGTGTTTATGAACTAGTGCACCTCAATTGTCAAGAATAATCAATAGGAAAAGTAAAGGAAGGAGGAGATTGCACAAAAGTTATTTGTACAAGAGATGGCGATAGTAAGGCGACAGAGGCAAGTGTAGCCAAGTGAAGACTCCAGCACTAGTCCTGTGAGGAAACAACTGCAGAAACATAACCACGTATGTTGCACCAACATCCAAGGGTCATTCAGGAAACACAGCTCCCAATAACTTTTTTTAGACTGTATATAAAAATAGAAATCATAAATGCAATATACCATACCATATATTTGATCAGTTTATATTTCCAAAAAGAAAATGCTAAACCCATGAAAGTCCTTCAGAAATTTGCTTGAGAAAATCTAACAATAATGCCACAAATGAAGTACCTAGAGAAAAGCCTCGGATAAACTCCACTCTATCGCTGGAGGACTCCACGTCTTGGCTACACTCACATGGAGGGTTTCATTCAAATTATGCCCACTGGCAACTTAGTCTAGAATGTTGCTTGGTAAAGGCCCAAATACAGCATGCTCTTCTCACCACTGTTTGCTAGTGCATTAACCAATTTATACACACATTTATGACAATGCGTATATAAGAGTGACTCGTATTAATAATGTGCAAGAGACCATGATGTACGGGAGCCTCAACTGCTCTTCTCATACTGTAACTTTGGGCGGGGGAGATGTGTTCACAACTGCTCATTATGGTTTTTGAGATTAGATGTGAGAATCTGAATGGGTGTACTTTGTATGTACTTGGTGATCAAGTCCTTAAAACAATAACATCATCAAGGCCTTCCTTTTGGCCAAAAATACGTTAGTAATTATCCTAAGTAAAATAAAGTACATGGCTAAATTTCTTAAAAATGCCTTGCATAGACTAGTAATCATCTTGGCTTAAAGTGATGCATTTCCAAACAGAAAATAAAATAAATCAAATGTCAATGGAGAATATTTGAGCAATATTCTGATTATTCCCCACACCATTCAGAGAACACTTCTGAGTATTAAACATCACCAGAAATATGCAGACATCCTCATGTCTGTTAATGTCAGGTTCAACATTTTTAAATTTTAAACATCTTTGTATTTCCTCAAAATTCAATTATCAGAACTATGGAAATCCTTAGATTAAAAAACTAAACAATCTGCGTACTATTTACAAGGAAAATGATAAATAAGCCATCTAAGAAGCAACACTTGTGGTAAGACTACCTTATAACTATACAACTGATTCATCAATGAGAATTGTCACCAAAAGTTCTACAAAGACATCTTTCACTCAGATGAGATCATTACACAAGTAATGGCTTGTGATATGGCAAAAGGTTACATACTGTACAGTCATAGTATCTCTCCAAAGAACAACTGTCATTTACTTCAGTCGCAATAAATAAATATCGACTAGTGCTATATCTGAACAGAAAGTAAGTTTTCACTCTTTGTGACCAGTTACACCGCAGCTACCACATTTTGAGCTAATATAGCCAGCTCACAGCCAAACACTAAAATTACACAGCATTTGAGAAGTAACATAGTAACAGCAAGAATTGAGAATAACAAGATACAGGAGTTTTGGGACCACACTCTTAGCTTCCTGGCCAGTCACTGTACGGTCCTGTCACTCTGAAAGTCGGAGCATATCTCATCTCTGACCAAGTGGAGGTTGGGTGGGCAGAAGGTGTCCGTGGTGCCATGGGGCTATAACTATTAACATTGCTGAAATTGGGGAAGGGTGTTCCTTGCGGTATGGAACCATGTGGACCTGGGCTATATGGAGGTGTTAAACCATAAGAAGGTTGGGAAGCCTGGTTAGAATACCCTTGACTTTGGCCTAGCATGGATGCACTGTGAGGGCTTGTCATGGATGATGGGTGATGATTGGCATGTGGACTTGGCATAGGTGTATTATGGGGACTTGGCATGGGCGTATTAAGAGGATTTGAGTATGGACTTTGCATTGGAGTATTGTGAGAATTGGTATGAGGACTTGGCATGGGTGTATTGTGAGGATTTGAATGGGGGCTTGGCATAGGAGTACTGTGGGAATTTGCATGAGGGCTTGACATGGGTGTGTTATGAGGGTTTGTATGGGGACTAAGCATGGGTGAATTGAGATGATGTGGACTTAGCATAGAGTTATTGTGAGGACTCTGAACTGGATTTCCATGAGGACTATGCATTGGATTACCAAGAGGGCTATGCATTGGATTACCATGAGGACTCTGCAAGGAATTTACATGTGGACTATTCATTGGTGTGCCATATGGGCTATGTACAGTATTTCCATGAGGACTCTGCATTGAATTATGAATAGGACTACTCATGGGATTGAGAGGAAGATTTGACGCATTTTGAGAATTTGAAACTGGAACACCACTGTTGACAGAGCTATTTTGATGAGGATACTGATTATGAAAATTGCGATGCTGCTGATGGCAAAAAGGCTGGTATGAATCTGGACCTTGGTTAGGTGCACAACTGTAGGGATTGAATTCTTGCAGGGATATGTTAAAGGGTGGGCGCCGATGTTCGCCCTGATGGTTCCCATGCAGATTGAGAGTCCCTGTGTAATTGTGGTCTGAAGATGGATGAGGTTTTTGAAGTTGTAAACTTAAGGTTGGTGATGAGGAAGTAATTACATGAGGGGGATGAGAAGCTATGGAATATGTTGGGGCATGAGAAACACCAAATTTGTGAGGACTGAAAGCTCTACAGTTTTCCATGACAGATGGAAGAGGTTTATGATAGTTGGCATAACTTACTGGAGGAGATTTCAGATCTGGATGGTTAGGAAGCCTTATATCTGAAGGTGGGCAAATGGTTACTGATTTTACATCAATTGGATGACCTTCTGGATGCCCAACTCTACTCCCCACACTATGTCCTTCATTTGACACAGGACTTAACTTTGGCTCCTCCTTTATTTGGGGTACACTGTTCATTTTCTGCGCATCAGACTCTAGCACTGTGTTACATTCGTCTGGAAACACGAAACCTTCTTTCATCATTTTCTTCTTTTTTCGTGGAGAAGGTTTTAGCTTCCCCTCTTTGATTAATCTTTCTTCTTCACTTCTTTTCTTTTCCATCTTTTCCTCAAACCTCGCCCATCCATGGTTTCTGTAAATTAGGTTCTTGTGCTGATAAAACACGAGACTAATTCTCTTTGGATCACGTCTATTTGGGTTCTTGAGTGCAGTTGTGGCATGCAGTTCATGTTTGGCACATTCAAATAGCACCGAACCATGGGTCAGAGCAATAGCTACACCTCCGATATCTGGATCGTGGAAATTCTCTACATTGTCACTCTGTTTGATTACAGTTTCTGGTTCTTTTAGTTTATTACACTGTTGATCATTTCTACTGGGGTTTTCATCACTGGTTAAATTGGAAAAAGGGTTATTGTATAGCCTGTCTTGATGGAAAGGCATTACTTCTTGCATATTTGGTCCCCTACTAAATTGATTTGTACTTCTATAGTGCATTTGCAGAGCTGGATCAACACCATTTTGCATCACATGTGACAAACTGCATGCAGCGGAGGGAGTATTTTGTGGAAGTTGAAAGGAATGGGGATACTGTTCATTTTGAGTCTTATTATAATTGTGGCATTGATTTTCTATTGTATTTGTACATTGTTGCTGTTGACTATTAAATGTGTGAGAAAGCTGGGGGTTGGCAGCCCCTTGGCCATGGGGGTTTGGAGATGACACAGGAGTGAGTGGAGTACTGACAGAACAAGCTTGCCCGAAAGGTGACTGATGTGGAGTTGCAACCCCTGTAGACAATCCTACAGGAGAAGCAATCAATGACTGACAGCTATGAGGTGACTGAGTGAACTGTGACTGAGTTGCTGATTCTGTAGTGGAGGAGGGAACTGGAGATGAGCAAGGACTTGATGAATGTGGAGGATGTGGTGGTGTGAAGGATTTAAGATGTGGCGATGGAAGGGGAGATGAACATGGACTAGATGATGATGGAAGATTTGATGGAGTGATGGATCTTGTAGTGGGTGAACCTAGAGGAGAAGGACAAGGACTGGATGAATGAAGAACTGAAGGAATGGCTGGAGAAGGGAGAGGAGACACACTTGGACTCATAGATTGTGGAGGTAAAGGTGTATTAGAGCAAGAGGAAAGAGGAGAATTAAAACACTGTGGGGAGTACGGTCTCTTAGGAGCCGGAGATTGGGGAGGAGGCATAGAATGAGAGTAGTGAGGACTACCTTGTACTGTAGGGGAGGCACCAGGGCCAACTACTGCTTTGGGTGAGCTTCCTATATGACTAGTAGGAGGGTCACCTGAGACCGAGTGAGTTTCGGTAAATGCTGAAGCCTGGCCAGGAGCTTTCTGTCTTTGGCTTAATTGACCTTCTGGGGCTGCCAGACCCTCAGGACCTTTCACACTATCATGGTGATTAATGTCAGCTAATGGTTGATTGGAAGATGCTACATCATCACTGCTTGTACTATCATCTTTACATGAAATTATCTGGTCTAAATCACAAGAAAGTCCAAAATCATTATCTGGTCCAACATTTAACAACCAACTATAATCAGAACCGTCGAGTCCATAATTGCTCAGCACATCGTTTGGATCACTAAAGTCGATACCATTTAGCATAAAGTCTAGGTCGACCCCAAGTGAATCACCGAAGTCTACACTTTGTATTATGGGGCTGTTCATTCCATCCATTCCTCTTCCTCGCCCAATGCCTAAACCTCTTGCTTTTCCTCTTCCTCTACCCCTTAATCGCTTTGGGAGAGGCAAACCCCTTGCAAGAAGGTTTCTTGCACGACAAGAGAGAAGTGGCTCGGTTCGTAGACGAATTTCACAGGGATATCTGAAAGAAAATATTATCATTAGTCATGTAACCTCTTTATTAATGCTTACAATTATTATTATTATTTAACACAGTTCACTCCACTTAACATCATCATCATTACATAGTATGTGTATATATATATACACTGGCTGCTAGTTGCATAGAGCATATCACCAAGTATTTTCATACCACACACCAACATATTTAATCCAAAAGTTAAAAAATAAGAAAGAATCATTTTGAATGCAGTATAAAAATCTACATTGACCTAACTGTACTGGACAAACAGGAATCCACCACACCAAACTAGCATTCACAGATAAATGCACTGATAAAGTGAAAGCCAAGAAAAGTAATAAATATAGGTGGTGACAATACTTCTGTGTTCAGTGAACCATTAGTCGAACTAAAGATTGACATTCCAAATGAGCCTCAAAACTCTGCTGACGTTTCCATAATTTGTAACATAACCCTAACTCACTCAACCTATAGAAAATCGATGATAGTATGCTCCAGTACTTTGTCTCAGGCAAGACATGTAGAAATCTGTATTAACTAAGAATTGTATAAAAAAAAACTATCACGTGCCTCAAATATCCCATGGAGATGGGATTTGGAAACAGGAGTTATCCCACGGTCATTAAAAACCACTGATATTGCCCTAATCCACAAAAGTGCCAGAAAAGCAGTCACAAACTACAGACTGGTAACACTGACATCCCACAATATTAAAACATTTTTTGAAAGTTTTAAGAAGATTGCAAATTACAATGGTTGCACAACCCAGGGCAACACGAGTTTGCCTCTCGTCTTTCACAACAGCTGGACCATTACAATATGACCTTGAACACACTGAAGGACAGTCAAAATGAAGATGTTGTCTACACAGACTGCACAATACAGATGTCTACACAGACTGCACAATACAGATGATGTGACGTTAATGAGGAGAATTAAATCTGATGAGGACCAGGCAGGACTTCAAAGAGACCTGGACAGACTGGACACCTGGTCCAGCAAATGGCTTCTCGAATTTAATCCTGCCAAATGCAAAGTCATGAAGATAGGGGAAGGGCACAGAAGACCACAGACAGAGTATAGGCTAGGTGGCCAAAGACTGCAAACCTCACTCAAGGAGAAAGATCTTGGGGCGAGTATAACACCGAGCATGTCTCCGGAAGCATACATCAATCAGATAACTGCTGCAGCATATGGGCGCCTGGCAAACCTGAGAACAGCATTCCGATACCTTAGTAAGGAATCGTTCAAGACACTGTACACCGTGTATGTCAGGCCCATACTGGAGTATGCAGCACCTGTTTGGAACCCGCACTTGATAAAGCACGTCAAGAAACTAGAGAAAGTACAAAGGTTTGCCACAAGGTTAGTTCCAGAGCTAAGGGGAATGTCCTATGAAGAAAGATTAAGGGAAATCGGCCTGACAACACTGGAGGACAGGAGGGTCAGGGGAGACATGATAAAGACGTATAAAATACTGCGTGGAATAGACAAGGTGGACAAAGACAGGATGTTCCAGGGAGGGGACACAGAAACAAGAGGCCACAATTGGAAGTTGAAGACACAAATGAGTCAGAGAGATATTAGGAAGTATTTCTTCAGTCATAGAGTTGCAAGGCAGTGGAATAGCCTAGAAAATGACGTAGTGGAGGCAGGAACCATACACAGTTTTAAGACGAGGTTTGATAAAGCTCATGGAGTGGGGAGAGAGGGGGCCCAGTAGCAACCGGTGAAGAGGCGGGGCCAGGAGCTAAGACTCGACCCCTGCAACCACAAATAGGTGAGTACAGATGTTGTAAACATGAACTGCAAAGCACTCACGTGTTATTATGGCATTATAATGCACAAAATTTGTGCAGATGGAATAATTAAAAAAAAATTATCACAACATGAACCCAAAGAGTAACAGCAAAAGTAAAATCAGTGAAAACCTCCGTTCCTCCAACCCCTTTTAGGTTCTATGATGTTGGGGGGGGGGGGGGGAGGTAATTCTGATTCAAGGAACTGGACTTGTCCTCCCTTTGGATCAACCTTTATTGTCCCCAATTTCTCATGTAATGTATGATCAACAGATTTAGCACTTTCCCATAAATAAATACTGTACTACTAATCTATTCCTCAAGACACAGCATTCACCTCAATTCCTTGTATCACTCATATTTGACACAGAAACCTAGCATTAGTAAAATCAAAAGCCCCTTTTTATTCCAGTCATTATTTTTTATGGATGTCAATATTATCCAGATTAAAGTGATATGTTACAGAAATATGATCTCTGAAATAGAAAATGTACCCAAATCTTAAACAATTTATGCTGATTTAATTTTGTATTCGCTATTTGCACTTTAATGGAACTCAATCAAATGTAAAAATACCCATCGCTACTCCTTCTCCTCAGTGAAATTTGTAGGGACAACTACATTTTGAAATCCTAGTTTGGCTTATTTTATACTGATGACCATCGTTACAGATTTTCACAATGACAGTAATGACATCGACAACTTACTTGGCGAGCACCTCGAGAGCACCTGACTGGACTTTACGATGATAACTTGTATAAGATCCAGCCTCATCAACGGGGTCTATTATGTACAAAGGTAAGACATGGAGCTGCTCATCATCTGGTTTACTAAATCCTCGATGCTTAGTTAAGGTAGCAACAACAGTGCAGCCATTGTTCATGTTGTGATTATCCTTATGAGCATGGGCACAAAAATCTGCACATGCTGTCACTCCAGCCCATGGGCGTCCACCATTGTACCCGAGGCGACACTCCAAACTGTCGCTTTCAAAAGCTGTCTGATTTTTATAAGCTTCTGGGGCATACTGCTTATATACAGGGGCTAAAAGAGTGGCTAAGTTCTGTAACTTCTGTTCTACCTCACACTCCTGCAAAATAAAATACAATTATGAAGTCATTTTTAAATACAGTACAATATACAGCAAATCTTCAATATAATGAATCTCTATATAACAGACTTTGGACATACAGAACAAAATCTATTGGTTCAATCCATTCAGGAAACAACAGATTATGTCTGCTGGTTACAAAATTATCCATTATTGTTACTATCATGGTAAGACAATCTTTTTTTTTTTTATCTGCCACACTTGCCAGTACCAGACACCCACTCCTGCTACTAATCCTTATATGAAGGATTTACTGTATAAAGTGTACACTGAATGAATTCATTTTGAAAGGCTAATTTCACCTATACGACGAACATTCAATAAATAAACTTGCAAAAAAAAAAAAAAAATACTGATTTGTTATACGAGGCACTGTACGACAGAAAAGAATTTGTCCAGTGGAGAAAAAAACAGATATGTGGGAGATCAAAGCTATGAAGGTGAAGTTAAACTTTGTTACGAGGCTTTGAATCTAACTTGTAGATGGAAAAGACAATCTCTACATCCCCACAAACAGACGAAACATTAAAGAATCAATTCATTCACTATCCCAGATTTTGACTGCGATGGCACTTGCTCTTTTCTGACACAATGGCTTGTATGAATAAATGTAAATATTGTTGAAGATCACTGCATAAAGTTAAGTAGCATAGGACTTGAGGACCATGTTATGACCCATAATATACTGTATTTTTTGTAATGTAAATAAAATTCTGACTGATTCATACTAATTTAATTATAGTACATCCTATGAATCATATTTTTCCTGGTCTATGAAAGACTTTTTTGTAAAGATGCAGATGGCTTATTGGCATTAATGCATTGTTGCAAAAATCAGTTTGAACATCACAAAGGTATTGTATCGACCCCCAAAACCCTCTCCAGGTATATACTATAGTATTTCATTAATGTTAAATATAACAATATCATCAAAATTCTGACTAAACTACGATAGGTTGGGAAGGATTAAGCTAAACTTATTACAGTTTTAGACAGATTAGTTTAGGGTGTTTAGTTAGTTTGGTATAAAATTTGTAAACTGTATTCCATGTTAGATCTAAAAAATATCAATTAGTGAAAATTTTCAAACCAGTTTTAAAGGCAGGTTAACTTGACTGACCAAGTCTACCTAATAATATGCATATATGCAATAAGATCACAGTAAACAGGTAATAGTATCATAATAAGCAAAATAACCAAAATGAAAAAATAGTGAACTATCCCTTCCTTGACAATGTGAGAAATCACAAAAGCACTTAGAATTTCACTATTTTTTTTCACTGTGGTTATTATGCATGCATATACATATATATTCTCCATGGGGAAGTGGAAGAGAATCCTTCCTCCAAAAACCATGTATCATAAGAGGCGACTAAAATGCCGAGAGCAACAGGCTAGTAACCCCTTCTGTATAAATTACTGAATTTAAAAAGAAAAACTTTTGTTTTTGTTTTTAGGTCACTCTGCCTCAGTGGAATATGACCAATTAGTTGAAAAAAAAAAATACAGTCTCTCCTCACATAACAATGGAATTCCATTCCTAAGATTAGGCTGGTAAACTAATTGGTTGTTAAGTGAGGAGCGTGCTATACTGGTAGTGGGTTTGTGTCAATTATCTTCAGATATTGTTATAACCCTTAAACTGTCCAAACATACATCTATGTTTTCACTGCCAGTGCTCAGAGTATTAAAAAAAAAAAATTTTAAAGAGGGCAATTTTCTGTATGTAATAAGACCAAAAAAAATTTTTAGGATCAGTACTTACTGAGACATAAGACTACGAAATCAGCACTGGATGCTCACCTAATGGCAACATTGAGTGCTGCTGCTTGCAGAAGTGTTGCCAATATATCTTTTTTCTCCTTTTCATTTTAATTTATATAATTTTTATGTTCTTATAACTATGATTTATAGTAGTTCTTGTGATGTCACAGCCAATCTTTGTTCTGACACTAATATTAGGTACTGATATAGTTACAAACACACTGGCAGGTGAACATTTTCACCTGCCTTGGTCATTTACTATTATCTAGAAATATACAGAAGGTATTTATAGATCTCAGCAATATTTTAGACATAAGAAAGAAGTAACATTGCAGCAGGCCTACTGGCCCATGCAAGACAGGTCCAAGTCTCCTACCGGCTTAAGCCAATGCCCTAACCTAGTCAGGTCAGGTCACATTCACTTAACCCCTTGACTGTCGCAACCCCCAATCCTGAGGTGTCTCCTGGTGTCGCAAAATTTAAAAAAAAAAAAAACATTATTTTTTCATATGAAATGATAGAGAATCTTTTCCAGATTGTAATGACACCAAAAAAACGAAATTTGATGGAAAACTGACGGAATTACGGTCTCGCGAAGTTAGCGACCTCGGCGATATTTACAAATCGGCGATTTCACCCACTTTGAGCCCTATTTCCGACTAATTCCGTTGTTCCAGTCAACCAAACTCATAGCTATTTCTTTAGAACTCCATTTTTTTTTATCGCTTGAGTACAAGAAACTGCCCATTTACTGATTTCAACTACCTAATAATGTGGTCAGAAATTTGCAATTTGGCCAATTTCATGAAAATTAAAAAATATGACAACTTCAAAATAAGGTCCAGAATGAACAATGCAGACATTCCTGGCTCTAAAATAACATTTTCTTTGTTCATCAGTCATGTCTCCAGGCCCCTCTGATATTACTCTTGCTTTCTATTTTGAATTTTTATTCAAACAAAAAATAGAAGACTTACTATTATGCAGACTACTGCAATATTGTAATAATTGTATAAATAACATCAACCCATTCATGACTGCATATTAGAATGGCTAGTTGGACATTTATTGGACAATGACATTTGTTTACTTTTGAACATTGGCAAAAATCAAACATTTTCCCTACTTTGAGCTCCATTTCCAGGTTCTTTTTATAGTAAAATCAATCAAAATCACCTCTATTTCTATAATATGTTTTCCATTCTATCAAATGAGACCAAGAAAACGAGAATACAACCATAAATACTATACGAAAATAGACCACAAAGTCTGCATTTTAATTAAAAAAAAATGGTCGGAGTTTTTTTTTCCTCATTATGCACTACGTGCTCCAGGATTTTTTTATATGGTGCACACTGACCACACAGACCCATTCTCTCACATGTGGGCTTACCAGCTTTCTCCTGCTTGATTTGAAGCCGCTAGAATTTATGAGTATATATACGTCAAACACGGTACCTCGTAAGACGTATATATACGGCCGCGACAGTCAAAGGGTTAAGGAAGAAGCATGGCATTTGACCTATTAGCACAACTAGTCAGGTCCAACTCACACCCACTCATGTATTTATCTAACCTATTTTTAAAACTACACAATGCTTCAGCCCCTATAACAGTACTCAAATTCAAAGTTCATTCTCTATAAGGATTACAATGCTGAGTTTACAGTTTGTTCCACTCATCCACAACTCTATTACCAAACCAGTGCTTTTCTATATCCTTCCTGAATCTGAATTTTTCCAACTTAAAGCCATTGCTGTGAGTCCCGTCTAGGCTAGATATTTTTAGCATGATATTTACATCCCCTTTATTTATTCCTGTTTTCCATTTATACACCTCGATCATATCCCCCCTAATTCTATACCTTTCTAGAGAGTGCAGATTCAGGGGCCCCCAGTCTATCCTCATATCAATCAATCAAGTTTATTCTCTATAAGGATTACAATGTGTGGTTTATAGATTTTGAATATTGTAGGGTTTACATGTTTTAAAATACTAATTACAGAGGGGGCCACTAGGGCACCTAGCATGGCTAAGCACTTCGGGCAGACTTAGATTAATTCTAAACTTTAAATTATTACAGATTATGATATTAAGGCTAAGTGACTACATGATAGTTTGTGAGTTTAGCAATGTGAATGCTTTTGTTTTGGCACAATACATAGTGTCTATATTGGAGTATCATAGGCAAACTTATGACTAGTTAGGATTCATTATTTTAAGATTAAGATTCGTATTTCTGTGTTTATAGTCAATGGACGAGTGAGTAAGTGTGAACCACCAGGTGGTTTACATGTAGTTAGTTGATGGGGTGTATCAGGGAGATAAGATGTTTTCTAACTGTAGTTTTGAAAGTGATGAATGTGTAAGTAAGTAAGTTTATTCAGGTATACACAAATACAGTTACATAGAATTATCGTACATAGCAGCGTATGTGTAGAGAACCTGTCTGACTTTTTTTCGGTTATCCTAGGTTCTCTACACATATGCTGCTATGTACGATAATTCTATGTAACTGTATTTGTGTAAACCTGAATAAACTTACTTACATAGTCTGCAGTTCTCGAGTTTTCAGGTAGGGTGTTCCAGATTTTAAGCCCTTTGACACACATTGAATTTTTGTAAAGGTTTAGTCGGACACAGGGAATGTCATAGAGATGTTTGTGTCTGGTGTTATGCCTGTGGGTCCTGTCACAACTACCAAGAAAGCATTTTAGGTCAAGGTTAATATTAGAATTTAAGGTCCTGTAGATGTAGATTGCACAGTAGTAAGTGTGGATGTTCTGAACAGGGAGTAAGTTTAGATCTATGAAGAGTGGGGGGGGGGTGTCATCGGGGGTGGAATTTAGTGATTATTCTTACTGCGGCTTTTTGTTGGGTTATTATTGGCTTTAGATGTGTTGCTGCAGTTGATCCCCAAGCACAAATAGCATAGGTGAGGTATGGATAAATGAATGAATGGTATAGTGTGAGAAGTGCAGTTTGCGGCACGTAATATCGTATCTTGGAGAGGATCCCCACCGTTTTGGATACTTTTTTTGTTGTGTTGGATATGGGAGCTGAAATTTAGGTTGTTGTTGAGGTATAGACCTAGGAATTTGCCCCCATTATGTCTGGCAATTAGTGTTGTCAATCTTAATGTTAAGTTGTGCAACACCTGCTCTGCTACCAAACATAATGTAGTAGGTTTTGTCAGTGTTAAGTTTAAGTTTATTAAGTGTAAGTTTATAGGGAAGATTTCTAATACATGGAATCCGCTTTCTCATCCTCCTTTATACATTTTCCAGTGCATTTATATCCATTCTGTAATACAGTGATCAGAACTGTGGAGCATAATCTAAATGAGGCCTAACCAAAAATATATAGAGTTGAAGAACAACCTGAAGACTTCTGTTATTTATACTTCTTGATACAAAGTCAAGGATTCTGTTAGCCTTATTGCGAACACTTACGCACTGTGTTAGAGTATATATGAAACTCCTTGAAGCATGGTGTTACGACCAGTGTTGCTAAACTGCTGACAGCGCAGCATTGGGGTGACACTTGATGAACGTGCACTGCTCCAGGGAACCCTGGCTTTATTTGTTTTCACTGTTACACACACATGTCTGTCAATCTAGCTCTGCTTATCTATATTTCTGTCTGCCTGTGTGTGTGTATCTGCCTGTCTCTCTGTCTCACAGAGCGGCTCATAAACCAAAAGATATTACACACGATGCAAAGTCGTCACGTCACATTCCTGATCAAGTGACAATGTGTATTACTTGCCAGCCATGCTTATTATGCCTTATATCTACAAGCACTGTATAGCACTTTGCCTGGAATTTTAGGTTTTTTTATTATCACACTGGCCGATTCCCACCAAGGCAGGGTGGCACGAAAAAGAAAAACTTTCACCATCATTCACTCCATCACTGTCTTGCCAGAAGGGTGCTTTACACTACAGTTTTTAAACTGCAACATTAACACCCCTCCTTCAGAGTGCAGGCACTGTACTTCCCATCTCCAGGACTCGAGTCCAGCCTGCCGGTTTCCCTGAACCCCTTCATAAATGTTACTTTGCACACACTCCAACAGCACGTCAAGTATTAAAAATCATTTGTCTCCATTTACTCCTATCAAACACGCTCACGCATGCCTGCTGGAAGTCCAAGCCCCTAGCACACAAAACCTCCTTTACCCCCTCCCTCCAACCTTTCCTAGGCCGACCCCTACCCCGCCTTCCTTCCACTACAGACTGATACACTCTTGAAGTCACTCTGTTTTGCTCCATTCTCTCTACATGTCTGAACCACCTCATGTCCTAGTTAATTTACACTATGTATAATAACTGTACTTGTGTGTACCTGAGAGAGACAGACACACAGCCAAAGTCAGCCAGCCTGCCGAATACATATTACACGTTCCAGAATCATTTCTCTTTACTTAGGGCATATGTTATAAGACATTCTGGCAGGATGACACTACCTGTGGTATCAGAAATGAAACGATGTTGCACATGGGTTATTATTGAGGTTTTTTATATTTCCTCAACCACTTGTGGCCACATCCATCTCAAAGCCACTAAACTCTGGGTTAACATCATTTTCCTCTTAAAAGGGGAGTGTAAATATGAGATGACATCAGTGAATCCCTGATGTTTGCCAAGCTATTTGCTCTAGATGGTGCTCAATTGAACTGGTGCTCCCACAAGGTACTAAGTGGTCCCAGATTTTTTTAATACTGCACATAAGTGTGTCAAGACTCATTTTATACTGACCAAGCATCTCAGGCCAATCATGAAATTTGAAGGCAGGAAAAATAAAAAGTAGATCTACGTTTGGAGTGCTAGCTGTACATATGTAGATCTACGTTTGGAGTGCTAGCTGTACATATGTAGATCTACGTTTAGACAGTTTAAGGGCTAATGTCACCTTTGCACCATTTATAACATTGTTAGTATATTTTTAAATGTTTATACAGTAGTGTACTGTATACTGTAATAAACAGAATAGAGGAAATCAGCTCTAATATACATTACTTAGGTATGCATACTGGTCAGACAGCCCGTTTTAAGTCCAAACAGTCGTTAAACGAGTATGTTAAGTGAGGAGAGACTGTATATATAGATCTAAAAAGCTACATACCTCCTGTTCATCTGTAAGTCTGAACTTCCTAGCAGTTTTACTGCGGGCGTATTTACACATATTATAGTACATAGACCATGAGCAGCCAAAACTGAACGAGGCTCCACACGTTTCTTGGTCTAATCCTTGACAGATACAAGTGCGCTCATCATTAACGCCGCATCTGTTGAACAAGAATACAAATTTAAATATATAATGTTGCATCATACCACACAAATATAACACTTAACGTTGTACAGTGTAAGTAAATGAAAAGGAATAAATCTGTACAGTAATTAAGAAGTGTAGAGATTTAAGGTAGACAAAGTTAAAGATAGGGTTCAAGGAAAAGCAGAGCACATTAAGTGGTATGTGTTGTGGTGTGGTTCTCTTGTTCATAGGCATGCCTTGATGCTATTGAAGGGCTCCTGATCCAAGGATTCAGACTTGCCTCCTCCTCCTAGATTCAAACTTTATTACCTCCTGTTACACAGGTGCTATAGGATCACTATTGATTTAGCACTTTCCCTTGAATATAACAGTCGGCTAGTCAAGAATGACAGGAAACTATCCGAGGGACTCTCCTGCTTGCAGATATGGAAGGGATCTCGATCCCAAGATGGGGGAGTTCAACCCCCCATGAAGGGGGAGTTCAACCCCCCATGAAGGGGGAGTTCAACCCCCCATGAAGGGGGAGTTCAACCCCCAAGAAGGGGTAGTTCAACCCCCAAGAAGGGAAAGCCCAATTCCCAGGAAGAAAGAAGCACAAAGGGGTGGTAATAGTGTAATAGTAATTGTAATATATGGAGCATATTGACTGTGCAGGTCATTCAGCACTCAACAGCCATGAGGAAAAATTACAACAGATAAAATAAGCAATAAAAGCACCAAGCACTCACATAAATAAATGTTATCATACCAAGAGCATATAGGGTGACTGAAAATGAGGTTATGGCGCACCTGAAGGAGGTGGATGTAGGAAATTCAGTTGGGGCTGGAAATGATCTCTGTAGATGCTGAAGAAAGAGAAAAGTAATATAATATTCATCAGGATACACTGTAGGGAGGTAATCAGGTTTGATTCAAAAGAGTGAGGTTAGCTACAATCCCTAAGATCAAGAGCCCTTAACTAGCATCAAGACACCCATTTTTAAAGGGAAACTGGGAAGAATATCTGGGAACTTGACTAAAGGTTTACAGTACCATATTAATTAGAGAGAGGAAAGGTACCAAAGAAGACCTCAAACATTACAGAACATTAATTTTGAAAGCAAGATAAAAGGCTCTAAACTAAATGCTCTACATACTAAGGGGCCTCCTGCATGCACACCTAAATGTCACCCATCTCTGTATCATACTGAAATAAATCCGAGATTGAATCGGAAAAGAAGAGCAGTGTCCCTGATATGTATTTCCAGCAAAGTAGTCAAGATGATCTGAGAGAAAATGGTTAGTAGATCATGAGCAATAATGTGTGTTCAGGGGGATAGTTTTGTCTGATGTGCAGTAGAGACAGATTTGTATGTACAGAGGTTATAGCTTTGTATAGTACATTTAATACAGTAGGGCCCCACTTATATGGCAGGTTAGGTTCCAGGCTACTGCCGGAGAGCAGACATCACCGGAAAGCAGAATGCCATTTTTTCCACTTATAAATGCATATAAATGGCAGATACCTAGGTAGTAGGTTGGTAGACAGCAACCCCCCAGGGAGGTACTACCGTCCTGCCAAGTCAGTGTAAAACGAAAGCCTGTAATTGTTTTACATGATAGTAGGATTGCTGGTGTCCTTTTTTCTGTCTCATAAACATGCAAGATTTCAGGTACGTCTTGCTACTTCTACTTACACTTAGGTCACACTACACATACATGTACAAGCATATATATGCACACCCCTTTGAGTTTTCTTCTATTTTCTTTCTAGTTCTTGTTCTTATTTCCTCTTACCTCCATGAGGAAGTGGAACAGAAGTCTTCCTCCATAAGTCATGCGTGTTGTAAGAGGCGACTAAAATGTCAGGAGCAAGGGGCTAGTAACCCCTTCTCCTGTATGTATTACTAAATGTAAAAGGAGAAACTTTCGTTTTTCCTTTTGGGCCACCCCACCTCGGTGGGATATGGCCGGTGTGTTGAAAGAAGAAGAAATGGCAGATAAGTTTACACTAACATATTAAGTTAGCAATAGAACTAGGCATTAAAAACAATAAAAAGTAAAATACACGCACAGTACACCCATTACTTACCTTAAAATATTTGTAGTCTTAATGTAGGGTGAGAAATGAGTCGTATTTATTTGTAGGAAGTCAGGTGTAGGAAGTACAGTAGCCAGCCAGGCCACCCCACCCCACCCACAAACAGACAAGTCTGTTTTTGGTTCATACACGTTTATATTATACCATAATGCAAACATTGTGTACAAGTTGTCTCCACATTGATACAGTAGAATAAATAAAGAGGAACACTCCCATTCTCATTTAACACCATTTTTAGAAGAAATGACGCTCTGAGTGAAGGCATACGAAAGGAATAATTTTCTAGTTACCACCAGTAATATTATAGTGTACACATTTTCTCTGTAGTGTAAAGCACCCTTCTGGCAAGACAGTGATGGAGTGAATGATGGTGAAAGTTTTTCTTTTTCGGGCCACCCTGCCTTGGTGGGAATCGGCCAGTGTGATAATAATAATAAAAAAAAATTTCTCTGATGTTGAACTAAAGAAAACGTTATTCTTGCCATCACTCCTGCAAGCTGCCTGGCTACATTTCATATTTATGTTAATTTATTCTACTGTGGGGCATATATATCATGTTTATATGTTATATAGCAGGCATTGTACTTCTATATAACATATAAACATGATATATATGCCCCACAGTTGAATAAATTAACATAAATATGAAATGTAGCCAGGCAGCTTGTAGGAGTGATGGCAAGAATAACGTTTTCTTTAGTTCAACATCAGAGAATTTTTTTTTTATTATTATTATCACACTGGCCGATTCCCACCAAGGCAGTTTGGAGGGATATGTTGTGTATCTTTATACGTATATGCTTCTAAACTGTTGTATTCTGAGCACCTCTGCAAAAACAGTGATTATGTGTGGGTGAGGTGAAAGTGTTGAATGATGATGAAAGTATTTTCTTTTTGGGGATTTTCTTTCTTTTTTGGGTCACCCTGCCTCGGTGGGAGATGGCCGACTTGTTGGAAAAAAAAAAAAAGTTATATAGCATGTTTATCATATAATTTTGAAAAAAATATCCTAGATGGATGAATGGAAATGTCTATATTAACTTAACATACGACATTTAATACGTCCAAGAGATTATTATTAATACGGTGTCAAGAGTAGAGAGACTCTTAATGATTTTAATGTGTACCTGCACAGTGTGTAAGTATATTTAGGTACATATACACACAAGTATAATTATCAGAGTACATATAAAAAATGCAACAACTTTAAAACACTTGAAATTTTGGAAAGTTTCCAAACATAATAGAGATGTGCTTACAGAGAATGTAAACAAACCGGGTGGGGCATGCCGTATTAGAAAGACAGGGGGAGCCGTATAAAGAGTTTTGGTCATAATTTGAAATCACCGTATTAGTGGAACGCTGCAAAGCAGGGCCCTACTGTAATAATAATATCACTGATAAAACTTATAGAAATAAAACTACAGTAACATTAAATATAAATTTCATAAATGTTACAATGATGTGTGAGGTTGTGTATGAAAGTTTACAAGAATAATCTGAATCATGGGGTATTATCACCCTATCATACACTGTTTCTTTCCAATGGGACAATGTACTTGAATTAATCTAGCAAAAATGTAATTCCTTGATCAAAGTTACCCAGGGCGGCTTAACAACAGATTGATCAGCTGTGAAACTGAAGCATTGTTGCGGGTAAACAAAACCTTTTCATTTCACAAGCCAGTGTGTTCAGTGTAGATGAAACTGGGCTCTTTTATGTTGTATTTGAGAAAAAATTCACTATGCATGAAGGAGGCAGCTGCTGAGACTGACAGCAAGCTTTCTGTAGAAAGTAACTCTCACAGTATTTCTCCAAGCAAAGAAATGCAACATTCTATTTTGCTGGAAATATTGAAAATGTTGCAAATGTAAGCAGCGTGTTAGTGTTTTGTATTTAAGAGTTAGGTTTGAACAGCAGCACATCTACCCTATCAAGCCATGACATGAAGCATGTTGACATATACTGGGTGATAACAATGTACTAACATGTATTACAGTATTATATAGTGCAGTTGAATGTAACATACAAGGTGTGGTAGACTGTTTAATATTCTATACTGTACATTTTTTAGGTGACATATTATTCGGCTGAAAGCTATCTCAGTTAATATACAGTGGACCCCCGGTTAACGATATTTTTTCACTCCAGAAGTATGTTCAGGTGCCAGTACTGACCAAATTTGTTCCCATAAGGAATATTGTGAAGTAGATTAGTCCATTTCAGACCCCCAAACATACACGTACAAACGCACTTACATAAATACACTTACATAATTGGTCGCATTTGGAGGTGATCGTTATGCGGGGGTCCACTGTACTACTTTTTTAACTGTAAACTTTTCCCTCTCTTAAAATCTCCCCTTAAAATACACAAATAACCTGCACATAAGAGAAAGAAATGTATGATGATGTTTTGGTCCGACTTGGATCATTAACTAGTTACACATTACGTGCGACTAGTTAACAGTTTACGTCGGATCGAAATGTCATAATTTTCTTCCTCCTACATGCAGGTTATTTGTGTATTATTCCTGTTATGGTATTATGCCTTTTTATTTTTTATCTCACCTTAAACTGAGGTTTTCGGATACACAAACCAATGCCGAGAGAGAGACTACCCTGTATAGGGCATTAAATATTGATGATGAAAATGGAAGGAGTATAAAGGAGGTGAAATGTACCATATTTAGATAACTGGGAGTGGATGTATCAGTAGATGGGTTTATGGAGAAGTTAAACCACAAAATAGAGAAGAAAACAAAAGTTGCAGGAGTCTTGAGGAGTCTGTGGAAAGAAAGAGGTCTGTTAATGGGTGCTATAAAAAATGAAAGTGCATCAGAGTTCCACATGGTGAAACTGATACTTTTGTTCATGTGAAACACAGTGTAAAATTTGGCAGTAAGGTTGGATGTAATGGAAATATCTTGCCCAAGCTGAATGTGTGATGCAAATAATATGCAGAGAATGAAGAAATTAGAATTAGAAGTGACATTAAGTCATGAAAAAGCAAAAAAGGAGTTGTGGAAACAGTTCAGTCATACAGAAAGGATGAAATAAAACAGGATGCTAGAGAGGGTGTATAAGTCTGGAGTGATGAGATGTAGCAGCCATTGCATCTGAGGAGACCTCCTACAAACATCCTTCTGACATTCCCTCCATAATTTTCTAAGGTTAAAAAGTACATGTATTGTATAGTAATGTACTGTACATGACTTTAAACTGTTATACAAAATTTTGAGAATTGTATGCCACAGTGGTGGGATATGAGGATTTTGCATTTGTAGTACAGAAGATCGATGAATACCACAGTCTCATGGTTTATTATTGTGTCACGTGAAAATTTAGTTTCTTTTTAATATTTTAAATGTATTTAACCTCTCTGCAGTAAACCCTCGATATAAGGAACCTCTGAAATAACAGTCAAAATCCACTGGGGTAAATTGTACTTTTAACTGGTTTATTTTCAATGTTTATTGAAATATTTATAAAAAATCTCGTCATGGACCGGGCTATGGGGGTGTTGACCCCCGGAACATCCTCCAGGTATGTGTGTACAGTGGAATATTTAGTGCCTTTTTCTGTGATTTTCTTAACATTATTCTGATTTAATGAACACTCAGTTAATCCCCCCTATTAGTCCATCATATGAAGGATTCACCACTAATGACTAGTTTCAAGCACTATTAACAAGCAAAAATACAATATGATTAATTTTAATCTTACCTTCTTTCTGTAGGAGTTCCAAATTTGTTGAGCTTATAAACGAGCATGGAGTACAAGTCATCAGCAACTGGTATGGGAACTCCTTCCCAGGCTACAAGAGCAATCACAATCCAAGTTGAAGAGCATGTATGCTTCACCCGGTGCTTCACTACAGCAAGTGCCTTCTCGTCTGGTCCACTTCGACGTATGATCTGAAATTAAGTCTTTGTCAAGGCTCAACTAATAACATTTGTATCATGATCATTACAAACATTCAAAACATTCTCAGTTACCTATCCTTGGGAATTTTTTAAGCACCTATTAGAATTCTTCTATGTTTGGTAACTGGACACAGATGAAATTAATGTGACATTGTATTGTGGCAACATTTTGCTCTCCAGGAGCTTTGTCAAGCCAACAAAACTTGACAAAGCTCCTGGAGAGCAAAATGTTGCCACAATAAAATGTCAAATTAGTTGCATCTATGTCCATTTACCTCGAGTTTACCAAGAGAGGGTTTCAGGGGTCAACGTCCCCACAGCCCGGTCTGAGACCAGGCCTCACCTAACATTTTGTCAGAAATTCTACCAGAATTCTTCTAGTTTTGTACAAGATTTTCTCTCTAACAATGGGCAACATTTACAATCTATGTATAATACTGTACTGTACGTCTGAGTTCACATACTACAGTTGCAAAAAATGAGTCATTTAGTACAATAGAACTCCCGTATCCAGTTATTTGGTATCTGTGGTTTCAGTCATCCTTGGTTTACTATGGTCCAAAAATACCTCTTAATTTTGCATAATAATGGCATAATAAAGGTGAAAAAGTAGAAAGGCTGGCAGTTATTCAAAGCCTAAGAGAAGCTGTGAAGTGCTTCCCATAAGTGAAAAAGTGATAATTCTCCACTTATTGTGCATAATTTATCAATTAAACTTTATAATAGGTTTGTGTACTACTACTTACATATAGGGCTTATAATAATAAAATACAGTGGACCCCCGACTTACGATGTTAATTCACTCCAGAAGTCTGTTCGGGTGCCGTTATCGAACGAATTTGTTCCCATAACGAATATTGTAAATTAGATTAGTCAGTTTCAGACCCCCAAAAATACACGTACAAAAGCAGTTACAAAAACACACTTACATAATTGTTCAAGTTGGGAGCTGATCATAAGGCGGGGGTCCACTGTACATGTATAACCATGAATGATTTGTTATGGTTTATGGCATCCCAATAACTGAATCAGACCTAGTAAAATCCCATAAAACGAAACAGGGAGTGTAGGAGGCGTCTTTACCCGCCCTCAGGAATATCAGTAAAAATCTAATATTTCCGCTTGTCTGAGGCTGATTTCAAACTACTTCTGGTCCTGGAATCAACTAAAATTATTTCTATTACAGTAGAATATCATTCTATCAAGTGGTACCAAGAAACAGCCAATAAAACATAAAAACTATCCTAGAAAATCCATCAAACTCACTGTTTTAAACCAAACAAAAGGTTAGAGCTTTGCCTCTCCTATCATGCAACACGTGAGGCAGGATTTTTTTTTATACTATGCACACTAAACACAGACTCATTCTCTCATATCTAGGCCAAACTTTACCACTCACAGCTTATCTGAGTGAGCTGAGCTGATGACGTACATCTACGTGATGGACTCCGGCTTCAATGACACAGTTCTACATGACGGACGGTCAAAAGGTTCATGTGTATTCTGTAGTTTCCTATCTGTAGATACATATCCATATTTACTTTTACTAACCCTCTTGGGGTCTAATTCCTAGCCCTTTAGTGCATCCCTGTGCTCCTAGAATACCATGCACAGGATGGATATAGTGCACAATAAACTAGCTACTTCAGCAACAAAATCTAAAACTGTTAACTTACCCATTTTGCTAATGGGCAGCCAGCTTCTGTTTTTCCTTCTTTTCCAGTGTAAATAACTTTCTCAATTCTTACAGCTGCTCCTGAATGTCCTGTTTGCTTCTCTAACATGCTTCTTAGTTCTGAAAGGGTAGACGCAGCTCCCAAATGTCTGTAGATAGGACCAGGGTCTGGGTTACCTGCAATTATCATCAAACATTATAATAATGTATTATGAAAATATAACAAGGGAATTAATAAGTTCTATTTGTATATGATACAGAGGCAGCTCCAGAACTTTATAAAGGAAGAACTTAGAGGTGGCAATCTGGTTGATGTAGAGGTCTAGGGGACTCATCTTGAAGCCATTATTTTTATTTGGTGAGCTTTGGGGAATTGATGGAATTTTTGAAGGGAGGCATTTAGCACCCCTGTGGTGCCACCCCTGATATGATAGCCGAGCAAACGCTACACGCCAGTGAAGCAGCCAGTGAAAACTCGTATATTCTTAGACATTATGACTGATTAATTACAATTTATAAAATTATGCAAATTTTTTCATGACTTGCAAAAATTAATACACCTAATTCATGTTATAAAAACTGAACAACATTGCAGCCACAAACTAAAAGGTGTGAAAACAATTGTGGAAACTGGCTGCTTTTGATGTTAATTAAATGCTGATAATGATTATATATAATCATAAGAAGCACCCACAATGGTTGTTGTAATGCCTGAGGCATAAGGATTAAACAGGTTTCTTCAAGGAAACAGAGGGCAGCTCCAATTCCTTGAATGAAGAGCCCTTTCACCATCATCAAGGCACTCTCCTTAGATTTTAGATTAGATTTTGCCACCAAAGTAGCTAAATCTAATCTAAAATCTATGGTACATGCTGTATGAAAATCCCTACATTTCAACAACACACAGTAATATGTGACCCACCTTTGTACTGTGGAAAAGCTGCTCACATCCATGCACACACAGCCCAGCTTGGACACAAGCAATCTAATAAATTTATAAGCAGGAGATGCAAAAGCATTTTGAGGTTGCAAGCAAGCAAGTGAAGCAAGCATCACAGCATCAAGCACTGTATAAGAAAGCATAAACCAAAAAAAGTATCAGGTTAAATTTCCAGCTTCCTGTTAAAATATTTTACTGTACCAAAGCACCGATGCAATAAAAAAAAATGATTAACAAATATAAAAGTTACTGTTTAAAAATCTAAATAAAGCCAATTTAACCCACATACAACAGCTGCCCAAGTTGGAAAAATACACAAATGCAGTTTAATGCGATCCTTTATTGCCTACGTTTCGCCCACACAGTGGGCTTTATCAAGTCACAAACAGTCAATGAAGGGTCACATTACACCACATTTGTGTCTTAGTTTTCACCGTGTTGGTATTTTATACCATTTATCTCCATGAGCCCAAGTTACCAGCCCTGGCCAATCAGAAATAAACATATAATTTTTATACCATGTTGGTAAGTAGCAGCTAAACTAGTAGTGTTCATTAAAGCCCTATTTTCTTTATTAGTATGGCTTCTGAACAGAAAAACTGAATACGTGGCGTACATTTAAAAAATAACGAACAAATTCAATCCATTATACACCTAATAATTCTTCAAATACAAACATTGCAGCTACACTTACATTTCTGTATCAGTTTAACTCATGAGTTTCAATTAAACTAAGATCATTGAATAATATACTAGTAGTACATAAATTTATACATATTTGAGGGTAAATTTTAATATTTTGCAGATATTGCAGGACATTGTAAAAAGATAAGGGATATTCATTGCTTCAAATAATTCACTAACCCACTCAAGCAATCAGCACAAACAGTGTGTCTGCATGTGCTGCAATGCTTTGCAGATATCACCATGCTGCTGACCTGTAGATGACGATGATCCAGTTTTTCTCCCACGCATATCCTAAAAAAATAATATACCTGACACTTGTTGTGCCATGGAATGCTACAATAAGCTTGGCGGGCTACAGGGTATCATTTTCATTGGATAAATGTCGAAAAACTGGTAAGGTATCAAGTGGCAGATCACGGCAACTTGCAGGTTTTGATCAACACCCTAGTAAAAATAAAACTAAGATCATTGGCTCACACAGTAAACACATTTCTCATTTTATCAGTCGAAGAAAACAGTAGAGAAACAAGTTGATATCCCATTTAACAATTTCATATGTGGCCACCATTTTTTATTATATTTTTAAGGGTCCTGCTACTACTACAGAAAATGCAGTGATATAATAATAAAAATAGTGCCAACAACATTGAAAGTATTGTAGAACCTAAAATTGACACCTCCAAATAAAATCCTGCCAAGTTACACCTAATTTTAGCATTGCTCAGTGTTGCACAGAGTTGCTAACAACACACCTAAAGATAAAACAAACATGTGCATGAATACCAACATGCTCACATTCCATGGAGAACATATGCATAGAGGAGTTGTCAGAGAAAACCAAGAGAGTTTCAAGGTAAGGAAATCCAGTCTGCTAAATCTTTGAATATCAAGGTAGAATTAGGGCTGGTTGGGCCACATTTGTTTTATTAGCTTGAATGAAAGCCTTTGATTCAGCACTCCACCAGAGGAATATTCACATGGAACACAAGCAGGAGTGATAGGTTAAGAACTAAAGTGGATCAACTAGTACCTGAAAGACAGAAACAAAAAATTAATGGTCAAAAGGTGGTGTCAGAGTAGGAGCATGAGAGAGCAAATCTCAGAAATAGATCTCAGGAAATTAAATAGCATGCAGAGTCCACCTGATCAAGAACACTCAGAAACAAGAAAATGTTCAAAGGTTTGCAATAAAAGGTGTCCAGTGAATACGAGTGAATTAAAACAATAATAAAAATAAATATAATATATATATATATATATAATATATATATATATATATATATATATAATATATATATATATATATATATATATATATATATATATATATATATATATATATAAAATATACACACACAGTGATTATGTGCGAGTGAGGTGAAATTGTTGAATGGTGATGAAAATATTTCCTTTCTGGGGATTTTCTTTCTTTTTGGGTCACCCTGCTTCGGTGGGAGACGGCCGACTTGTTAAAAAAAAATGTATACATATTTATTTATTTACTGAGACGAGGAAGGTGATTAAAAGATCATGAATCTGATACAAAATGGGAGTAGTTACAGGTGTTTCTTGCCAATGACACAACTCCTTCAGGAGATTCTGAGGAGAAGTTGCAAAGTTTGATAGATAAATTTGAGAGGGTATGTAAAAGAAGGAAATTAAAAGTGAACGTAAGACAGAGCAACTTCATGCGAGCAAGAAAAATTCTAGGCAATGAAAGACTGGAGGCCTGATCATGGACTGGGCCACAGGGGCTTTGACCCCTGGAACACCCTCCAGGAAGGGAGAGAGTACTGAAAGTAGGAATGTGTTCAATGTTTGGGAGTGGACTTGTTGGGAGAAGGAAGTATGGAAGACAAAGTGAACCACAGAACTGATGAGGGAAAAAGGGTAGGGAGTACAATGAGGCATCTGTGGAGAAAAAAAACTATTCACGGTACCAACTCTGCTTTATGGGTGTGAAGCATGGGTTTTAAATGTTGCAGCGAGGAGGTTACATGCAGTGGAGGTGTGTGGAGGGCAATGTGTAGTGTGAATATACATGCAGAGACTTCAGGCTTTGGAGATTATAAGGTGTAGAGTTACCAAAAGTATTATTCGAAGGACAGATGAGGGGTTATTGAAATGGTTTGGACATTTCGAGACGATGAGTCAAAATGGGATAACCAGGGCATATAAATCTAGAAAGGAGGGGTTGACTCGGGAAGGGTTGGAGGGAAGGGGGGGGGGGAAGGGAGGTTTTGAGTGCTAGAGACCTGGACATCAAACAGGCTTGGGTGATTAAGTTAGAAATGAGTGGAGACAGTTCTTAATAATGATTTAATGTGCTGCTGGAATGTGCGCAAGGTAACATTTACGAAGGGATTCAAAGGACACTTGTTAGCCATACTCGAGTACTAAAGATGGAAAGAAGAGTGCCTGCACTCGGAAGGAGGGTTGGGATGTTGCAGTTCAGGTCGTTTGAGCTCTAATGTCAGTACACTTCTGGGAAGACAGTAATTAAATGAATGATGATGAAACTGTCTTCTTACCGAGTCACCCTACCATAAAGGAGACAGCCAGTTAAAATATAAAAATGAACCACGTGACTAAGTGGTATGGAAACAGATTTTCAATGAAAACTTCTGGTTATAAGACTTCGGACTACAGTTAGTGCCACATTTACAAACACGTCATAGAAGTGTTCTTTGTAAAATCATCCTATTGTAAGCTCCGTGGCTTAGTGGTACAGCATTGAGCTAGCTACATACATGGACCACGATTCAAGTCCCCCCTTCCATACGGTGACAGACATTTATTACGACTTTGCCTGTAATGTGAAATACACAATTACACTTTAACATTACTCTCGTTATTTTTAAAACAGGAAACAGAATGGTTAGTTAGGTTGGGTATCCTGGAGCCTCGTTGATGTACCGGTTGCCAATGAGGCTAAGTAACGCTAGCGAGAGATAATGCCGAACATCATAGTCGTGTGGAGATAATTAACCGCATTGTTTGACCAGATTTTCGACCGTAGTGACTGGAACTGCTTAACATCCTACTACCCCTAACCCTCGCAACTGTCCGTCCAATATTGATTTCCAGGCAACGAGTTCCACGCTATTTTCTCATGACACGATTTTGTTTCCATTTTGTTTCGCTTTTTTTTAGTAGTTTGGGGATGCATTCATCATATAGGATTAATGGTGCTGTAACCGACCGATCATAGCACCAAATCGGCTACCCCGATTCCAGATTTATGGCACATAGTCACATGTTTATTAGCTTCGTTTCAGCACGCATAGAATCCTCTAATTTGGACATTTAACATCAACAGAATTATCATATTGATTGACAGTGGTCCCAATGTCAGTCGGGTAGGATAATTGCAGTACAGCAAGTGTTGCAAGTTAAACTGTCGACTGTGCCAAACTTCATGTCCACTATCACCATCACAGCTAATATAAAGACAGCTAAGAAGTTACAGAAGCTGTGGACGATGTTTCGACCCTTCCTGGACCATTATCAACGCGATATTATGACTATTCTCCGATCACTTAATATATAA